AAAATCCCCCCCCCCCCACCACATGGGCCATCTTCTGTGCGTCCCTGATTGTTAGGTGCACCCCAGTATGATAATTCCACTGTAGAAAATTACATAAATAATTTATTAACACTTAAGTAATGTGGAAGTGTGTATATATGGTCGAATAGTTTACTTACATAGTTTAAAAAGCTATCAATATTTTTTCAAAAAAGGTATTTTTAAGGGCTGGGCACAATGTTGCAAAGAGGGGGCACACATTTTTTTGCATGCTGAAGCGTGCAACTTGTGCCCCCCCCCCCATAAAATGCTCTCGTAGGCCCCTGAAAAAACAGCTTAATAAATGGGTCCGTTCAGTTACTCCGTGTAAAAAGTATGATTGCTGTGCTTCATATTTATTGGAAATTATATAAAATGACTCAAGTCGATCTTACAATCGTTGTCTTTTCCTATTCAAAAGTTTTATAGACAGGGTGTCCCACGAAACATGACAGTAATGTCTTCTTCCATATTTTTTAAAGTTTTTTTGATACCAAGGAGAACAATAAAAAATATTATATGGCATTCATGAAATAGTAAATTTGATTTTAAAGTAAAACATATTTGAGTAAAAGAATTTTTTAACGAAGTAAAGTGCAAAAAGTCTTTAATATGTAATACAGTATATGGAAGACGACATTCAAAACTATTCACCAACTGTCATGTTTTGTGGGACACCCTGTATCTAACTGTAGGTTTACCTTTTTTCTATAATTGAATACTTTTTTTAAGTTGCAATCAATGTATAGATAAATTCACTTTTTTTGCATCAACAATATTGCGCCAACATGATAGTGCATCCTGATCATAAGTTTATTCTCCCACCAATGGCAGTGCAGTATACTAGTCACATGACATACAGATGGAGTCATGTGATATGATACTGCACTGCCATTGGTGGAAGTTCTATTCACAAGATATTGACGTATTTGTTATTACAAATCATATCTATTAAAAATGAAAAATTATCAAATTCAAATAACATTATAACAGCAGTAGCAAACCTAAGTTTCTTAGGCTCCTCTGGGATATCGTCGTTTTCAGATAGGTTGTGTATTTGCTGAATATGATCCGCTTTATACCTACTATTTTATAAAAAAATCATATGTTTAGAATTTCGTACAAATTTAACATTTTATATCAATTTCTCGAGACAGGAACCGCGGATAGAACTCTCATGGGTCTCGATCAACTACTAAAATGCTTAGGTTTCAGTCTATTATACCCCCTTTCATTTTTCCTTTAAAGTCCCTTTAATAATATGTCCGAAAACTGCATTCTATTTTACAACATTGATAAATGTGTTGTTGCCACGCCTAAATGAGTCCTATTCAACTAGGTTATAGCATTAAGAGTGATGATGGACGCTAATCCTTTACTAAACTTTAAATCTTAGCTACCTCTCCGTGTGTATTTGTCTGAGTGTACACTTAATATAATTTACTGATAAAGGATATTACGAAATTATGGCCTAATGATACAGTACAAACAATAAATATGCAGTACGCTCTCGGAGTACACGTGTATGGGGAGGTTTTGTATCTTAAATTTTACTCAGTTTTATGAGAACAGTTTATTAACGATGAAATATTGCTCTGTAAGACTGTAATAGTACGTCTTCCTGTGAAAATGTAATCCTGCATACGATATAGGAGTAGTGGATTTTAATAGTTACATGGAAAACGAATCTCCATTTAAATATTTTCAGAAATCACCCCCGGGTACTGCAATATACAGATTGACCTTTGGAAGTGAACTACATGGCCTGTACAATTAGTAAAGGATTAGCGTACATCATCACTCTGTATACTATAACCTCGTTGAGAAATAGTTATTCAATCAATTAAACTGTAGACATAATTTCAACTGATCTTTTCCGTGTTTATGGGGAGGGATGTACGGTCCCATTTCTTTAACAACTATATACCTTATTTAAAATGTGAATAAAAGAAAAGAAAAGTTTAAACCTACGCCCCCCCCCNTATACCTTCTGTATAGTACACATACCTTCTTTACAAAACATACCCGGTAGATATATACCTTCCGTATACCTTCTTTACAAAACATACCTGGTACATATATACCTTCTGTATAGTACACATACCTTCTTTACAAAACATACCCGGTAGATATATACCTTCTGTATACCTTCTTTACAAAACATACCTGGTACATATATACCTTATGTATAGTACACAAACCTTCTTTACAAAACATACCTGGTACATTTATACCTTCTTCATAGGTCATGTACCTTCTTTTCAAAACATTCCTGGTACATATATACCTTCTGTATAGTACAAATACCTTCTTTACTAAACATACCTCTGCATATAAAATAAAATACTAGCTTCCACGGCGCTTTGCATCCATATTCGATTTAAGTTTTAAATTATCGATTTTTTTTGGTTGATTTTGAAAAATCGAAAATTTTTTAGACAAATTTTTTCAGTGCTGACTGCTAACCATTTATAAACCACCCTGGGATTATGAGAGGTCCCACAAAAAATTTGGGCCCGATCGGTTCAACCGTTTTGACGTTTATTGGTTATAAACAAACAAGACAAGCAACTTATTATATAGAAACCAAAAAAATCAAAAATTAAGTGGTTGGTGAGGAGATTTTTAAAAATCTCCAAAAATAGAGGTTGTGGGAAGATATCTCCCCTATTCGGAAAAAGAAAAGTAACTTGTTTCTTTTATTTTACTTTTTTAATTTATTGGTGTTAGATTTCTAGTTTTTTTTCGACAATGTAGTCACAGCTGATGGGAAAAGGAATTTTAGATTTAATTTTAATATTGAAAAAAATGGATTTTAGACAAAGTCACAAAATAGCCATTCTTAAACAACGTTTGAAGAAAATATATTAATAAAAAAAGATCATCTCTCTATAATCTCCAAGACGAAGATTTTTTTATTTCCCTTCTAGCTTAGTGGTTTGAACTGAATTGGTTTGGTTTGTTTGTATTGCCAGCTAAAGTCTTCACTGCGGTATTTGTTGTAAAGATATATATCTCAAGAAACTCAGCTAATTATTGCAGTTTTCTCATTTCCGACCCATACAGACATATACAGGGTGGACCCCATACAGACATATACAGGGTGGACCCCATACAGACATACACAGGGTGGACCCCATACAGACATATACAGGGTGGACCCCATACAGACATATACAGGGTGAACTCCATACAGACATATACAGGGTGGACCCCATACAGACATATACAGGGTGGACTCCATACAGACATACACAGGGTGGACCCCATACAGACATACACAGGGTGGACTCCATACAGACATATACAGGGTGGACTCCATACAGACATATACAGGGTGGACCCCATACAGACATATACAGGGTGGACCCCATACAGACATTTACAGGGTGGAGAAAATTATCTGAAAGCAATATTTTCCTCCGAGAGCTCTTCTAATTTTCTCCTAAAAACAGTTTAAAGTCAGCAGGGACCGAATTTAATAATTTTAAGAGGTCGCTGAATTACCTACCACCGGTTCAAATCCTGAATCACTGATTTAGATTCTAATAAATATTTACCTAGTTATTAAAATTCATTAAATTTGGTCCTGGACTTTTTAAATGTAACTTTGAATGATACACTTGTCAGCATTGTTTTATAAACAATTATTGCAGTCGCCCGCTTTTTTAAACACCCTGGTCGACAGCATGTATGAATGGTTCTATTTTATGTTATTATGAAACTCCCTGCATAAAATATTTTAATGTTTATCTCTCTGCTTGTATGATATACCCTGTATAAAATATTTAAATGGTTCTTTTCTCTGTTTCATGGAACACCCTGTATAAAATCTATTAATGGTTCTTTAATATCTGTTTCTATGAAACACCCTGTGTAAAATATATAAACGATTCTTTTATCTGTTTGTATGATACACCCTGTATAAAATACATAAATGCTTCTTTTATCTGTTTTAAAAGGGAATTATTCTCGTCTAGGGAAAGTAAAGTGCTTTGTCATTGTTTTGTTGGTAAACCTAGATCTAGGATAGAATAGAATAGGAATAGGAATAGAATAGGAATATATTAGGAATAGAATAGAATAGGAATAGAATAAATATGGAATAGGAATAGGAATATAATAGAATAGGAATAGAATAGAATATAATAGGAATAGAATAGGAATAGAATAGGAATAGAATAAAATATAATAGGAATATAATAGGAATAGAATAGGAATAGAATAGAATAGAATAGGGATAGAATAAATATGGAATAGAAATAGAATAAAGAATATGAATAGAATATGAATAGAATAGGAATAGAATAGGAATAGAATAGGAATAGAATAGGAATAGAGAACAGGAATAGAATAGGAATAGAATAGGAATAGGAAAACAATAGGAATCATATTGCAAGAAATTACGGTAATTGAATATGTAAATATGAAATATAAATTATATTATTTTATATATGTATGATTGTAGATATATGTATGTTTATTAGTTGATACAATTTATAAAACATATATTATAATTCATTTATACACATTTCAAACAAACATATACATTATATATATGCATAGATATGTAATGTACATTTTAAATTATTTGTTTTATTGCACAAGTTTGCTTGTCAAACTGTGCAATGTGCATTATTGTGTAATGTAAATCTACGTTTGAAGTAACAAATGAGAAACCTAATTTTTTAGTAACAAATAACAGAAATGGATTTTAAAATCTTAAGATGTTAAAAAATAAATGTATAAACCATGTTTTAAAGATATAACAAGATATATTTAGAAAATAAGATTTACCAAGTCATGTCAGGATGTAAGCTGACAAATTGAGATGAATATTTGAGATTCCAGGCAGATATTCTTTCTTATTTTTATACAATGTAAACACAATTTTATTGATATACATATTTAGAATATACACGCTCACCCACAAAGGATGAGACTTTAAACCGACTGGAAACTTTTAAAATATGACGATCTAAAGTTAAATTCAGATTTCTGCTTTTAGTTACTTGTTTAACAGTTTAAAAATGAATAAAAGGAAACAGACAGTATGAATTCCATACGGTCGTCTCTGACGTCTCAAATGAAGAGAAATCATTTTCACGAAACATAAATTTTGAAAAGAATATCCTAGAGGAAGTGTAAAAATAAACATTATCAGTTTATTGGATGATTCGAGACATTTTTTCTTTCATAAATTTGAAAATGTCTTGAAGGCATATTGAAAATAGAAAGGGACTGTTGACAATATTTAGAAGAAAACAGATCTGTGGTCAACAAACCTTTATTTAAAGAATTAGAAACTTCAGAATAAACTGTACTCTTTGAACTTTAAATGTTTTTTTAGAAAAAGGTTTCCGTCGTTTTCTTCCTTTTCTTTGCGTAAAAATACTAAAGTTGCTTTCTCTCCATCAATTAATCAATAGAACACCTAAAAATGTCGATGTTTAGAAAGATTTGTTTTTAAAGAAAAACTAAACTAAAGTTTTTCCGATTTTTATTATAAGATATATAAACATATACAGTTTTTTGTAGTTAATTTGTTATATTGAGTTATTTCCATTACGTCTGTTGTACCAAAGAGTGATTATTTGCGTCAAACTCTAGTTTTAATCCTTAGATTTTTGCAACCTAATATTTCAAACTATGAATTATGATAGATCAAAATAGTCATAGTTTACATCATCAGGTTGCAAAGATATAGGAATTAGAAAATTTAAGGTGGTTGTGAATAATTAGTGCATTTATTCAAAACAATTGAATTAAAAAAACAATGTGTTATTATTTTTTGTCGAAATATATAACTCTATAAACTATATTTGTAATTTGCATGTTGTGTATTATAATCGTATCCAGTCCTCTAAATATAAATTAATGGATCCTGTTTTCTACATCATTAAGCTTCATATAATCATAAATATAAATAGAATAATAATACACTCTATATATTTCACATTAACACATTGAGAGCTTTCAATACATGATACCGTGTTTACATGTTTTAGAGAAAATAACAATTATTTCCTCATAAAAAAAACTATAGCGTAAAACTTGATCATTTAGGTATGCAAATTTAAAAAATTCTATTTCTTTCCTGGGGTCATGTAAGGTTCCAAAAAAAATTTGGGCCCGATCGGTTCAACCGTTTTGACGTTTATCGGTTTTCAATACGTTTTCAAAAATTGAAAGTTAAAGGTTAAATACATTCTCTTTCTTCATGTCACTTCATTGAATTTTTATCTCTATTTTTTTGGGACTCGTTCTGATTTTTACAACAAGTTGTGCATATAATTTTACCCAGATTTGTTGAAAATTCTGGCTTGCAGACCTAATTGAAATGTACTGCGTTTGTACTGCAATGTGATTGTGTAAACCTTGGATTTTTCAAATTTTGACTTGTCAACAGTAACACAAAGTATGAAATATCAAAAGTTTACAGTTTCTGGATAGGATGTAATTTTTTCCTTATAAATATATCATAAATAAACATATTAAAATCCAAATAAATTTTTTCGTAGGTACTAAATGTGTTCAAAAATAAACAAAACTGAAAATTTGAAAATTTTATTTTTATCAGGGCGGTAACAATTTTTTAAATGATTTTGACAATTCGATTTACTAATTTTATTAAATTAACTATGTTAAAAAGATTTATATAATCATTCTTTCAGTAAATAATCTATGTACAGTAAAAATTTGAAATTCAATATTAAATAAAATATTTTCAAAGATGGCAGTTACTGTATAAAGGCTTGGAACTGTTAAAATGTTTGAAAATTAACTAGATACTCAATTTGTTTAAATAAAGTAGAGAGAAATTTTCAAACCCAAAATTCGCGTTTCAATTATTTCATAAAGGGATTGTCGTTAAAATTTAAAAAAGGGCATTCACAATTTACAATGGTACCCTTTTACCCTTTGTCTGATCAATGATGTGGCAGATTTAGTCGTTGTTTTGTTTTTAAATAAGGTTTATTCTAACAACTTCCTCCATTGTTTCTACAACCAGAAATGCGCAAGTCCCTTTTAGTGAGCAACCACAATTAAAAGTAACAATCTATAAATAAAACAAGACATTCGTATATTTATATGTTGTCTATAGCGGCCAAACGGCTGAACCAATTGGGCTGAATTTTTTTTGTGGACACTCACGGGTGGCCGGGGGTTGTTAAAGGCTAAAAAAATATAAATATAATTTGTTTTTTCAAAATTTTTTCCAATTTTTTTTACGGGCAACGCCGGGCCCTTCAGCTATTATTTATTAAGAAGATAATTTACATATGATGCAATAATGATTAGACAAGACTTTTAAGGGTACCGTTGTGAATTACACGCATACATGCCACTCTGCATATGCACTTGAAATTACTCGACTACATCTCCTTTAATAATTTGAATCTAAAGTTTGTGTCTCGATTATTTTGACTTGAGGTTAATCTTATTAAAGTAGTATCTCTTAATTAGAAGTTTTTAAAAGTGTAGTGTTGCAAGGAAAATTTTAAAAGTGTAGTGTTGCAAGGAAAATTTTTATTTTAAAATGAAAGTGTATTTTGCTGGGTAAATTTTATTCTAATTCAAAGAGTTAGTAAGAATTTATGTGATTTTACAGGGACTATATTTTTTGGATCAATTATGATTGAACTTCAACGAGAATTCAAAATATATCGCCTCCAAAAAGCCTATTATGCACATTGCTCTGTTTGTGCTGCTACAGAAGGCTGAACGATTAAAAGTAATGTGCTGGGAGAAATAAAGATTTTTTATGTATTTTGTGTATGGAAAAGGAGGGTTAGAAAGATTGGATTAAAAAAAGTTAATCATGGTTAATCCTATAAACCCTCTTTCTTTCTTAACAGAACACACCCTTTCAGCACGGCAAAATAATTGAATAAAGCTTTTATTTTGTTTAAACCTTGTTCGCTGTAAATTGAAAATGTGTGAAATTTATCTGCAAGGGATAACTTGAAATACAAAATTAATAGGAAACCAACATTTTTTTATATTACACATGTTCATGAGGATTATACAAAAATTTTAAAACTTAGATAAATAATATATTTAATAATATAATTAAGTCCAATTGCATAATACTGAACGAGAAATGAGAAAGGCGGTCTGTAATTACCATAAAAATTACACAATTTTTAATTGTTTGAGCATCGAGATGAGAGTATGAAACACAATAGAGAAATCACCATTATAATTTTTTTAGGCCTGCATCTATAGTATTTTATCATCTATGGGATATAGAAAAGACATGCTTAGGTACATGAGCTGAGGATAATGAAGATAAAAAAAACGTATTAAAAAACACTACAACTGCAGCGTCAACATTAGTCATCACTCAACTTTTCATTTGAACATGAAATATCTATCTGTAAGTAAAATTATTGATAAAATGATTTAACAGAATTTTTTCAGATTTTTAAATATTGTAAATTATCTATAAAATATCAGCCTACATTTTTTTTAGATAAATCTGCTTTGTAAATTTTTACATTAAATCTTTGATGCAAACCATTTTTAAATAGGTGGTTTATGAGAGTGGGTTTAAATATTATAACTTTTTTATACATTTCAATTGTTACCTAAAAATCTAAATCACGGTATTTAGTTAGATATGCAATTATGTAGAAATAGATAGAGCAGGAATAGATTGATAGGCAAACAAATGAAATTTTAAGAACATATAAATGATAAACTATTTTTTGATTGATAGATATATGGGAATCTTTATCATCCAGAAATCATGAATGATCAGATTAAAGGATAGATCATCCATAGATTAATAGTTTGGAGGATAGATCATCCATGGATTAATAGATTGGAGGATAGATCATCCATAGATTAATATATTGGAGGATGAATTATCCATGGATTAATATATTGGAGGATAGATAATCCAAAGATTGAAACATTGGAGGATAGATATTCTAAAGATCAATAGATCGGAGGATGGAATTCATGGGTAATAGATTGGAGGATGAATCATCCATGGATTAATATATTGGAGGATAGATCATCCATGGGTTGATAGATTGGAGGATAAAACATCCATAGATCAATAGATTGGAGGATGAATCATCCATGGATTAATAGATTGGAGGATGAATCATCCACGGATTGATAGCTAGTAGGATGAATCATCCACGGAATGATAGATTGGAGGATATATCATCTACGGATTGATGGAGTGGAGGATAGATCATCCATGGATTGATAGAGTGGAGGATATATCATCCATATATAATAGATTGGAGGATGGATCATCCATGGATTGATAGAGTGGAGGATAGATCGTCCATAGATTAATAGATTGGAGGATATATCATCCGTATATAATAGATTGGAGGATGGATCATCCATGGATTGATAGAGTGGAGGATATATCATCCATATATAATAGATTGGAGGATGGATCATCCATGGATTGATAGAGTGGAGGAAAGATCGTCCATAGATTAATAGATTAGAGGATATATTATATAATCCACGGATTAAAAGATTGGAGGATTAATCATCCAGGGATAGAAGACAGATAAGTGATCATCCATGGATGGTTGGATAACTACTATACAGTGGTTTCCAAGTCATATGGTAGAGTGGTCAGGTCGTCGTCCACAAAGGTTGCGGAGTCAACCCTGTGTCAGGACACCTCCTCCTTCAACAGATTAATATTCATTGAACAATCAATAAATCAATTATTTTTCAATAAATCAATTATTTATCAATAAATCAATTATTTATCAATAAATCAATTATTTATCATCAATCAATTATTTATCAATAAATCAATTATTTATCAATAAATCAATTGTTTATCAATCAATCAATTATTTATCAATAAATCAATTATTTATTTATCCATCCATTAATTATTTATCAATCAATAAATCGATTACTTAACAATCAATCAATCAATTATTTATCTCTCAATAATACGATCATTTAATAATAAATCAATCAATTATCTAACAATAAATCGATCAATAAAACAATCATTTATCAATCAATTAATTATTTATCAACCAATCAATTATCTATCAGTCAATCAATTATTAATTTATCAATCAATCAATAAATCAATTATTTATCAGTCAGTCAATTATTTTTTTATCAATCAATCAATAAATTAATTATTTATCAGTCAATCAATTATTTATTTATCAATCAATTAATTATTTATTAATCAATAAATCGATTATTTAACAAACAATAAATCATTTATTTATCAATCAATCAACTATTTATTTATCAATCAATTAATTATTTATCAATCAATAAATTATTTATTCATCAATCTATTAATCAATTAATAAATCGATTATTTAACAATCAATCAATTAATTATTTATCAATGAATCAATTAATTATTTATCAATTAATTAATTATTTATTAATCCTTTATTAATTTATAAATTGATTATTTATCAATCAATCAATCAATTATTTATAAATCAATCATCAAACAATATTTTAGGTAGAAGGGGGGGGGGGGTACACACAGTGAGGTATTAGCGGGGGGGGGGTCAGTCAAAATGAATTTATTCCATAAACCTTCTATTTATGTCCAATAAGGCTTGATCGCTTGAGAAATTGTTTTTGAGATAAGTCTCTGATTTGTTTAAATATTATGTTTTAGTTAAGAATTTCGACCGAAAACCCGCTTTTCATTGAAAACCCTTAAAATAGGATTTTTCAACTCGTTACTCTGACTAAATCAAGGATTTAGAGTGCTGCTTGAGCCCCTAAATCTTTTCTGCATGGCTGTTAGAATATATTTATATATTGAAATTATCCGGAAACCCCTGTGCTTTCTTGTTTTTTGCTATAAAATTTATATTTGTCCTCCGAAATACTCGCTGTAACAAAGACGACATCTTAATTTATTGCGGGATTACAGGATCCATTCAAGAATAAATTTATGAACGGGAAAAGTAATTATGCAAGCCACAACTCATACAATGTTTAAAAATGAAAAGATTATCAGAATATATTCATTTTGTCTATTCTCACCATGAAACACAAGACAAATGCATTTTAAGAGGAGTACTGTGACAAAAACATTCACCCCAATGACCCCCCAAAATACCCACCGTGGGTAAGCTTATAATGCAAGGAAAGTTATTTCAGATGTGTACGCATCTTTTGTGCTGCAGTGTACTGTCTCTGTGCGATAATGTAAACACAAGACGGATGTCGAAGCCTAACAGGGGATCCATCTTTCACATAAAAAATCAATGAAATATTTTGGTCATAGGAAACTATTATGTGAATTATCAAAATTTTCAAAATGCAATGCTTTTATCCTCCTCGGATATTAGAGGAACACTGATCCGTCTATTCTTGTTTACAAAAATTCCTGCCCAGAGAGAACTGGTTTCAATATGTACGTAGAGTATACGCGACTGCAATTAACTTTCCTTGCATTATAACCTTGATCGTGGGACACCCTCTCCCAAAATACCCTTGGAGGAAGTGGGCAGCCCCCTCCCTCAATACCTTGTAGGTGAACAATTAGGAAAGAAAACCTTAATTACTAAAAGGTTTGTTAGAAACACTGCCAGAACTAACTTATAATAATAATAATAATAATAATAATAATAATAATAATAATAATAAAAATAATAATAATACCTAAGCCTAAGGATGAGTACTGCTGTGGAGAGTATAACGAATATTCCTGCTACAACTGCAAACCCAACCAGGAGTTTAACTGGGGCAAACACCCTGCAGTTGGGTTCCATCTCATCCCACCCTCCAGGACAATCAGCCACGCCGTCACACCAGAGGGCGGGGCTAATACAACCAAACCCGGGGCAGGAGGTATCACAGGGCGGAGTTACTACTGCAGGTTCTCCTACCAGGGCGGAGGGCGGAGGTTGATAGATGAACTCGAACCAGGAGAAGAATACTGGACTCTGGGAGTGTCCGACTAGTGTAACTAGGATACTGTTAACCCTAGGAATAGAGATGGGGGCGTTAGTTTTTTCCTTCATTTTTTTCGTTCATCGTTCTTGAACGACCCAGGATCTGATGTGCGTTCTCAAAATTATCTTTCATTTGTCATCTATTTCATCAGTTTTATCACGGAACGATAGTTCAGTTAAACCGTTTGTTCAATAAAATCGTGCGTTCAGTAAAACAAACTATCGTTATTTCAAAAACTTTAGGAAAATTCGTTCGTTCGGTAAAAAAACGATAGTTTTTATATTCGTTCAAATGTTTTTAAATCGTTGTTTAAAAACTTTAGTTTTTCTCATATCTCTGAACGATCCAAGTCGTTCGCCAATCGTTCGTTTTTATTCTTCAAGACGACACCAACGTACGCAAAAAAAATAGTTTGTTCACAAAAATGATGCCAATCTCTACCTAGGGTCCAGGAAGTCCAGGGACGAGTTGGAGGGAGAAAGGATTTGTACTGAACCCATCTCAGGGTCCGGGCATATCACAGAGAGTTGAGCAGGAGTTCGAACCACGATACGGTTTCTCCTAGATTCAGGTATAACAATCATATACAAGCAAATTTAAACTGTATGCGCAAAGCTTTACTAAATTTGATTTTCGAAACAAAATTCATATCAAAAAGTGCATATCAAGCCTAACGTTAATATTATTATATTTAATATTATCTTTAAAAAGATTAAACTTAATTGTTAAAAATTGTTAAATAATTCAAGATTATAAATAAAAATAATCTTAAAGGAACCATATATTTTTGCCAAAATTCAAAATTTCTAAGGCCTATATTTCCAATGTGATGGTAGATAACTGTGATATTTTACACATATATTATTTGATATAGCAGAATTCATATTTTGAAATATCTAAGGTCTATGAAATTGTGTTGCAAAGATAAAGGGATTGAAAAGTGTAGGTTTGTGGCAAACACTCAATTCCTTCATAAGAGGCAATGATTTGTATATAATTGAAGATTCATTCTTTGTAAGGAGCAATGAAGAAATTCAAAGAAATAAACACTTTTCGAGTCAGAAAAAACGATTCTATCTTCCAGACTGTAGATCAGACTAAGGTTTTAAGGGTACCGTTGTAAATCGGGCATTGCCATCTTTGCGTGGAGGATCACCTAAAATTACGCTTACAGTCCCTTTAAAGTCCAGAAAAAAAATGTTTTGATTATGTTGAGTATATAGTTGAGTTGAGATGAGGGACTTAATTTCAAAATTTGGTTCAGCAAAAATGTTTCTCTCGGGAATTCTCTGAAAGCTTGAGAAGACGTAAAACTTTTGTAAATATTTTTGTAATCTTAGTTTCATATAATCTCATTTGCTGTATAATTATAAATTTGTACACCGAAATATTTTTATGAAATATGGGGGGGGGGTATAATGTTTTTTACAACTTCCATTAGTTAGTCCCGAGGCCAAAGAGATTAATTTAACTTTTTTCTTCGTCTCAAGTTTATGTTTTAGATATAAGAGGATTAAAAAAGTACAAACAACTTTTTCGAATCAATTTAAAGTTAAATATTAATATGTTTTTTTTCTTTTTTTTATGGAAACATTAAAAAAAAGTTTTTACTCCCTTTTACTTATTTGCTATCTCTTCTTTTCAGAAAATGATTCCAAAAATACGTATTTCTTTGAAACTGATTACTCGCCACAAACACGAATTTTATAATCTTTAAATCTGAATAGAAGGATTTGAAATTTAAAACTTCATAATCTGTATGGAAGGATTTAAATTGGTGATTCAATTTTTAACCAGTTTAGTGGTAAACAGTTCAGCGATCCCGCAAACTCATTAAATTTAAAGTTCTTACTCCTTGTTGATGTTAATATTTGATATTTCAAATTTAACACTTGATCAATATATCAGAATTTAAAGCTTGATATATCAAAGATGTAAGGATTATAATATTTGAGCATGAGGCAAGTGATGAGTTCCTTTGAAAAATAAGAACTAAGAACAGTATTACCCACATAGGATGAGACTGCAAAGACGACTCAAAACTCTAAAAATATGAAGATTTGATTTTTGGTTTCTGCGTTTAATTGAGTATTTTGATGGTTTGCTAAATGATTAAGCACAGAAATAAGGCAGTTTTGGCCTACAAGGAACCCTGAATGCAAAATAATGGACTAAACAAATTCCGTAAAATCGTCTCTGAAGTCTCATCCTTTGTGGGTAACCCTGTAAAATAAAATAAAGTTGTTATATTGGATTCCTTGAACAGGCAGGTACTCCAGTATAAGGTCGTGGTAGGCGGGCCCCAGGTAGGCGGAGCACTATTTGTTTAGGATCCACCGACTCCACCCACCAACCACTCCCTCCGCAGTTGGAGGAGTCTAAACGAACTACTCCACCACGCCGCGTTAAACTGGAGTCTTCACAGCTACGCTCCACAAATCTGGATAAAACTTAACTTTGAGAATTATACTAAAGTGTTTTTGAATAGTGGTCAGCGTTTATATCAATACAATTGAGACGGCTATTCTATTTAAGTTTTGATTTCTTAAAAGCTTTTTTCAAATTACAAATTTACAAGTAAACAAAGAGAAGTTGTTAATTGAAAGCTGCTCTTTGTTTTCATGTTTATGTGTATCTATATCAGAAATAAAAAAAATTGAATCAACAGTCGTCTTCATTTTATTGATATATACGCCGACGACTGTATAAACTACCCTTGAATCTTTTTTTTGAAAAAGAAACATGAAAAATGGGAAAAAATTTAAGCGACATTTTTTTTGGCAGGGAAGATTCCCATACACTTTGAGGACAAGATTTCATCAATCTGAAGATGTAGTTGAACTGAGTAGACGTAGTTGAACCAACTCTTATCAACTTAAACCGGTGGTTCAACTATGTCCACATTTCTTCTTCCCTTAAATTTGAAGGGACCTGTAAAAGGAAAAGAAAAGATTACTTCTTTATTAAAATTCCGATGAAAATCCCATCAAGTGATAATTCAAATATTTTACATTTGTTAAAAGACTTTAGGCGATGAACAATCTTTTTTATATTGAGATATAAGAAATATAAAACTAAAATTTAATCACAATTTTTTTAGAATTAAAATATAAATGTTTTATTTCTTATCCCAAGTGCTTAGATGTAAACAGTTTCAAGTTGTAACTGTAGTTTCAAGGCTGTAAATAAAGTGTCAAGTAAAAAATCAAAATATTTAGTAAAAGTAAAACAGGAAAGAATTAAATATATTCTGTCAAGTTGTTCCTAAATGTGGTTCGAAGAAAGAAATCACTTGAGTCTTCGTTCTTTTCCATCTCATCAACTACAAACCTAGAGTAGTGCACAGTGAGCCAAAAATCCAAAAATCAACTACAAACCTAGAGTAGTGCACAGTGAGCCAAAAATCCAAAAATCAACTACAAACCTAGAGTAGTGCACAGTGAGCCAAAAATCCAAAAATCAACTACAAACCTAGAGTAGTGCACAGTGAGCCAAAAATCCAAAAATCAACTACAAACCTAGAGTAGTGCACAGTGAGCCAAAAATCCAAAAATCTACGAGAATTACGTCAATTTCTTTTTTTAAACTAAAGCTAAAAACAAGTGCTTTATATTTCTAATATGTAAAAGGTAAAATTAAAAGCCAAGGCGTTACACAACTTCCAAGCTCAAGTTCTAAGTTCTGCTTTAAATTTTGTTTCAATTTATAAAAAAGGCCTATAAAAAATTTATAAAAACAGAGTTATCGGTCGAAACTTTTTATTCTAATTGATTGTTTTGTAAATCTAACTGATTTGAGTAAAACACTAGCGGAGAAACAATTGAAATATTTTGATGTCCCGTTGGAGCATGCATGGACAGTTCTGATTTTACAAGAATTGTTAAATACAAGAATGAACAATTTATATGTTGAAGGATTCGATAATATTATAATTACAGAGATGATAAATATGTTATGCTATGAAGATTTAACTAATTTTAACTCATTTTTGTTGGTTTTTTATTTGAATTTAAAAAAAAACTTCACAAAAAACAAGAAAAAGTAAGAATATGGAAAATGTATCTAAAGTTTGTAAAAAAAGGAGTGGATAAGAACTTGAATATATGAACAATTGACATCTTTGACATCCAGCGAAATAGTTGGACCAATAGGCCGATATTTTTTTAGGAAACTCATGGGTACCCTGGGGGTAACATAAGCTAAAAGTGATTTAAAATTTCACGGGGCAACGCCGGGCACTTTAGCTAGTCATTTATAAAAATGTTCATACAAGGTTAAAGTTTAGATTTAATTGAACCTGCAGTTTAAATAAATCCCAAGAAAGGAATATATAAGATTGTAAACTTAATATTGAAAATTGATAAGATATTTGTAACTTTAAGTTTCTAAACAATTCACTTAATGAATTTGATATTAGAAGATATCTTTCTATTTACAATAATTAAATGCTCAGTTACAATATTGTGCGAATAAGAGCTTGCCATATTTAATTAAATTTGTGGAATTAATTTAAATAAAATAAAATAGCTTTCTTTCAAATATTAAGAGTTTTGGAGTAACAACACATTTCTATTAAAGTCTGTTAAAAACTTTTGAATAAATCCTTTGGAATATTCCAGCCCAGACTTAATTGCTCAAGGGGAAACAACACCTTAATCTATTAAAATGAATCTTTATGAGTTAGGCTTGTCGCGAGCATTTTCAGTTTTTAAACAATTGGATTTTCAAAATATACAAAAATATTTAATCTTCAGCTGAACACTCTTGTATTGTGGATATCACGATCAACACTTGATCTCTTTTTGTTAATCTGCAGATTAATTTGATCTTTATTTGATATCCAGGAAAGTATCTAATATTAAACCAATCAGAATGTCGCTTGCAGAAATCGAACAGCCAATCGGAAGCAGGGAAATTTTCGCGCAACCAATGATAGAACTTCACTGTTCGGAGCCAAGGAGGGATAGCCAAAAGAGAGGATTGAGCAGAAAATCAAAAGTGCCCAAAGTGGATGTCGAGATTAAGCTATTGGGATTATAACTATTAAACACAAATGTTCCCAGCTTTTAATATTTCAAATCAAGAAAGTACACAAATCCACTCTTAAGGCCAAGCCAGGTCTCACAAAAAAATTAAATCACGACGTTTATAGGGTAGCAATCGACTGATCAACAAAAATACAGTAAAAATTGCGATGACATTTGATTGAAATAAAATTGTTTGATTGAAAACCCAAATATTGCTTTCAGATCAAAGGAAACTTCTAAACGAAACCTTTTTTTCATGAAAAGAAATGTGTATGTAAATTATTCTATACAAAATATTTTATTTTTTGCGCTATTGTACTTTAAGCCATAGAAAGATTAGAATATATTTAATTTTTCACAGTTTAATTAATTAAAGAGTTTAAATTTGCAAATTTTATCCAAGGAATTCGCAGAAAAATCGTACATTTAACATATATTAAGTTAATAAGTCGAATTTTAAATTTTTGTAGTTTTCAGAATGTTAATTTTATACTAGGCCATTTCTCCAATATGAATTCTTGATATATTGATAAAGTAGTCTGCAGCACACAAGAAAGATTTAAAAAAGAAATAAAAAATAATTTTTAATTCTTCGAAGGTTTTGTTTTACCCACAGAACAGAGATTAAAATAGAAGGGAAATAAGATTATCCCTCGGTATGAAATTGTTTAGTCCCTCTGAGCCTAAAAGGAGTTCAAAGTTTAAAATTCATGTAAATAAATTCATAAATTATACGCAGTACATCACACTAATTCAGTATGATCCCTATATATATTTCCGTTACAATTTCTTAGTTTATAAAGGTTATGCTGAAATGAACTCGTGAATGCTTGACAGGTTGTCAGGTTGTCAGAGAATTGATTTAGAAAAAATTAAATAATTTTCAAGAATTTTTTTTCTATAAAAAGATGTTCCAGGCACCAAAAGGTTAAATAGGCCAAATGTGTGAAGTACACTCATGCAGTTTAGAAACAGTACAACAAAATGGCGGTTGTACACTTCTGGACTTATTTAAACTCTATACTTATCTATTCTCTGTTGTTTGACCTGACTAGTATAGAGTTAGATGCCGAGACAAAGTTAGCTCCGTGTATTTTCTGACAATAGCACTGGGATTGATCCAACCCTTCTCCTTCAACTTCACTGATATATACTCCAGCTCGGGCTCCAGAGGAATCACATCTGTACCTGGATATATACCTGGATATATTGCTAGATCCGTTTGATTTGGCTGGTAAAGTCTATATTCAGTTAGAATGTGTTTAATTAGTGTGTTTTTAAGTACTACACCATTTTATATTAATTTTTATATTTGTGGTTGAAAATAAATCTTAACAATTTTCTAAATTTGTTCCAAAAAACTAACCTTAATCGTTTCTTTGATCAATAATAGTCAGCTATCTCAAGCATTCTCAGGAATTGAGACTTTGCCATTAACTCAGATTTTATAATCCTTATATCTTTGCAACCAAATGTTGTAGACCTTAGATATGCCAAACTATGAATTCTGTCATTTTATTTTGTTAATGGTTATTACCATCAGATTGCAAAGATATAGTGATTTGAGTTTGTGACAAAAAATCAATTCCTTTAGTATAATTGAACTCTTGAATTAAAAAGTTTCCATTATGATATTTAATTTATTTCTCTAGTTAAACTGTAATTCTGTATTCTCAATTGAATTTGTTCAAATCAATTTATACAGGGGTGTATATTTTCAAAATCATTTTTGATGATTTGGGGGAAATAATGAAAAATTTGACATCAAAAAGCATTTTTTTAATCATTTTTTAAAATCTTTTGCCCAAAAGTTCATGTTTTCCCCCGATTTAGCGAACAAAACCCTAAACAAAATCCTAAACAAAATCCTAAACAAAAGCCTAAACAAAACCCTAAACAAAACCCTAAACAAAACCTTAAACAAAACCCTAAACAAAACCCTAAACAAAACCCTAAACAAACCCCTAAACAAAAAATAAATGATTTTTGGGTGAAAAAGGAAGGGGATTGGAAAATATGTTTCTAGAAAATACACACCCTTGTAATCTATTTTTGTAGTTTACAAACAATAGTTGAATACGATTAACAGAACATTGAAATTCAGATCAGGGAGGAAATTCAAGTTGGCAGAGAGCTGTATTCACAAAACCTCTCTCAATAATACTCATCACACAACAGATTAAAAATACCAACAGATTTTTTTTCAATAAATTAAACAGACGTCAAAAATACTTAAATAAATCTTTTAGGTATACAGCGAGAACCAGACAACTCTAGAATAGGAAGACGACATTAAAGCAAGGATCAAGTGTATTTGACGTTGTTAAAAATCGAATAGTTTAACTAGTAAGTTATTAAATCACTTATTAAATGAAATGGGTCTGTTTGTATCGCACAATTGCTGTGTCTCATATTCATTGGACTGTTTAAAGTCATAACTAGGGTCGGATGGTTCGTTTTCATTTTTTTAAAAAACGATCGTATTGTTTTGAGAACGACGAAAAAAACGACTTTTTAAAAATATCGTTTTTAAAAATGATTGTTTTTGAAAACGACCCTTCGTTAACGACCGATAACGAATGTTAACGACGACCATTCGATAACGATCATTAACGACCTTTTAAAGAGAAAAAACACAGTAAATATTCAGGTTATTCAGATTCACTAGCGAAATTTTTTTTAACGATCGTTTCAAAAAACGATAGTTTTTTCCAAAAACGAAACAATCGCGTTGAAAAAAATAAAAACAACAGTTTTTTCGATCGTATATAAAAACGATTAACAACCTTTTATTCCGCAGTTTTCTGGTTCTCACGGTAGGATTTAAATATAATCCTGTATCGTTTTAAATTCAGTTTAGTTTCATTCTCTCAAAATGCAAGAATACCATCAAAAGCCAAATATTCAAAGAGAAAAACCTCAAAAAAATGTACGCTAAACAGTTAGGGATGCAATCTTTTTAAACAAACTAAAACATTTTTTCATTTCATTCTTCACTTTTCTTCCTTCCTTCCTCGCCCATTCTTCCTTTATACTTCTTTAATTTTTCCTTCTTTCCTCTTTTTCACTTTGTCCTTTCCTCTTTTATTCAGCCTTATTTTTTCCGTTTTTCCTTTTTCTTTTTATTCTTTCTTCTTTCGTCCTTCTTTTTTCATTCTTTCTCCTTCCTACTTCCTTTTTCCTTTTTCATTATCCTTCTTTACTTCTCATTCTGCCTTCTTTTTCATTCTTCCTTCTTACCACCCTCATTCTTCCCTCTTTCCTCCTCCGTTCTTTCTTCTTTCTACATTCTTTTTTCACTTTTTCGTTTTTCATTCTTCCTTTAATTTTCCTATTTTCCTGTTTTATTCCTCTTTCTTTATTTCTTCGTTGCTATCTTTTTTATTTTCCCCCTTTCCTCCTTTTTCCCCCTTTTTTCCTTTTTCATTCCTCTTTCTTCATTCTATTTTTTCTCTTCCATTCTCCCTTCTCTTCTCTCTCTTCTTTTCTCGATCTTTCTTCTTTCATTATCCAATTTTCCTTCTTTAACCTTCTTTCTTCTTTCCTTTTTCTTCCTCCTATTTTACTCTTTCTTCCTACTTTCCTCTTTCTTCCTTTTTTACTCTTTCTTTCTTCTTTACTATTTCTTCCTTCTTTACTCTTTCTTCCTATTTTACTCTTTCTTCCTACCTTACTATTTCTTCCTTCCTCAATCTTTCTTCCTTCTTTACTCTTTCTTCCTTCTTTACTCTTTCTTCCTTCTTTAACTCTTTCTTCCTTCCTTACTCTTTCTTCCTTCCTTACTCTTTCTTCCTCCCTTACTCTTTCTTCCTTCTTTACTCTTTCTTCCTTCTTTACTCTTTCTTCCTTCCTTACTCTTTCTTCCTTCCTTACTCTTTCTTCCTTCCTTACTGTTTCTTCCTTCTCTTCTCCGAAATACAGGGACTGCTTACAATATTTTTTTCGTAGGGGGGGAGGGGGGTTAATCAAGTGAGTTCGCTCGCCATCCCCCCCCCCCCGAATTATATACAGATAATTTGGTCAATTTTATGTCAAACCCCTTACAATTGGGGGTAGGAAACGTGCTTCCAAATTTTGGATTTTTATACATTCTATAAAACATCCTTTATTTCAGGATTTCTCTGACTAGGTAAGTATTCCATGCTTCTTAAAATCCGACTAGAATATTTTATGTTTACACTATAGAGCCTGTATTTAATCAAAACAATGCTTTACAACGCAGTACGGTTTTTTTCTATCTATCTATCAAATTATTTCGAGCAATTAACAAGTTACTGTGACCGTAAATGTTCACAATTTACTCTGTATACGTTCCACTTTTGATTATTCAGTTTATGAGATTATGGTATTTCTCCCTTCTCGAAATAGGTGGTCAAACACCGACTATAACCACCTTAAAGAGACTGTAAGTATAATTTCATGTGACTTGCACATTTCTTACTTTTCAAGTCAGACGGGATAAACTATCTGAACCAACACTTTCGAGTCAAACTTAAACGAAGTTATCTTTCACATTTTTGATCAGATTATGGTTTATAAGTACCGTTGTAAATTGAACATTGTCATCTTTGCACACAGGGTCACTTGAAATTAAGGTTACTAGGTCCCTTTAAGATTTCATGAAACCTCTCTTTAACTAACCTGGCAGTCTCAGCATCAAATACTGTTCTACAAGGTCTAGAACCCATACTTATATTCTCTAGGTTTAACTCTACCCTTTCATTCCTAGATAGATAGATAGATAGATAGATAGATAGATAGATAGATAGATAGATAGATAGATAGATATACTTATTGATATGAAAATAAATATATAAATATATGGATAAATTTACAGATAAATAGATATCTATCTATTCAAAAAATATTGATGCTGTTGAAATTATATTTGACTTTCTTTAGAATATCTAGTATCTACATTTGTTAACGTGTTTTCTCTAAATAATATAATATATATATGTAACTATATATCTGTGAATAAATATATATATGAATGTAAATAAACATATATCTGTATTGAAGAGCTGAATATCTAATTATAATGATGGAGTTAGTTTTCAGGTTGGGTTATACCTTTATATATGTATACACTTTGCTTGTCTTGCTTGTTTGTCTGTCTGTTTGTGTCCAATAAACGTCAAAACAGACAAACTAGCCGGGGCCGATTTTTTTTATGGCAACTCAAATGATCCAATAGATTTTTTTCGGAAAAATTGAATAAGGAGAAATGTCCTCATTTATAATTTCTAAGAATCTCCCTATAATGTTAATAGAAAAATACGCAAAATTTTGAGTTTTACAATTACGAAGCAAGAAAGACGACTTAAAGAGCAACCTTGCGTGCAAAATTATCAGTTAAAGGGGGGCTCTTAGCACAATTTACATTCATTCATATTATACATACGGGCCGGTGCCCCACATCATTCATATTATACATACAGGGCCGGTGCCCCACATCATTCATATTATACATACAGGGCCGGTGCCCCACATCATTCATATTATACATACAGGGCCGGTGCCCCACATCATTTCGGATCGTTTATGGCTCGAAATTGTGATTTTTGGGCTAATCAGAAAATTTTAAAGAATGAATCATTTTCAAAAATTGTATAAGCCTAATATAAAATTTCATGCAACAGCAGGTCTTTCGAGTAATTATGTGCGTATTTCTTCGTTAAATATTGGAGATAATCCAATAAAATATGGGATGTTCTGTATATCTACAAAATTTAAAAAACAATGTATAGTTTTAACAGTGCACATTGTATAGTTTTAACAGTGTACATTGTATAGTTTTAACAGTGTACATTTTGTTTCTTTTTCATGTTGAGTCACGTCAAATTTAAGTAAAGCTGAACTCAACCCTTGCGTCGTCCAAAAAATAACATTTTCTAATCCCCATATCTTTGCAATCTAAAGTTAGAAAGGAATTGAGCCTTTGCTACAAACTCTGATTTCTAATCCCTATATCTTTGCAGCCCATTGTCAGAGACCTTAAATATTTCAAACTTTGAGTTCTGTTAGATTATAGACTATTTGCTCTCTATCAGAATGCATAGTTTAAAATAAAAAGGTTTTCATCAAGAATTAAAAAAAAATAATTAAAAAGTCGCAAATATTCAGATCCAATTGAAATCTTGCGTATTTTCAATCCTATCCCCTCTTTTTGAAGAGATAAATGTTGAATTTCTAATTTGCAACCAAATAAAGGATTTGAGTTTTCGCTTCAAACTCAAATTTGCTAATCCCTTTATCCTTGCAATCTGATGGTTTAAACCTTTGATATTTTTCAAAATTGGAATATTCTATCGGACAAAATTCAAAGGTCTACGAAAGCGGTTTGCAAAGATATAGGGATTAGAAAATGTGATTTTTTGGGCAAAAAGGTTTAAATGGATCCTTTTAAATTACGTCTACAGTTTCTTAAAACGGTGAACAACAAAACAACATTTCATAATTTTTGTTTCTGTGTTAGACTATATAAACTAGCAAATAAATATGTATAAAAGGAATAGAAAGGTTTGAGAAATATAATAATAGAATATGCTGTTAGACTATATAAACTAGAAAATAAATATGAATAAAAGGAAAGAAAGGTTTGAGAATTATAATAATAGAATATGCTGTCAGACTATATAAACTAGAAAATAAATATGTATAAAAGGAATAGAAAGGTTTGAGAAATATAATAATAGAATATGCTGTTACACTATATAAACTAGAAAATAGATATGAATAAAAGGAAAAGAAAGGGTTGAGAAATATAATAATAGAATATACTGTTAGACTATATAGACTAGAAAATAAATATGAATAAAAGGAATAGAAAGGTTTGAGAAATATAATAATAGAATATGCTGTTAGACTATATAGACTAGAAAATAAATATGAATAAAAGGAATAGAAAGGTTTGAGAAATATAATAATAGAATATACTGTTAGACTATATAAACTAGAAAATAAATATGTATAAAAGGAATAGAAAGGTTGGAGAAATATAATAATAGAATTGTACAGAATATGCTGTTTGTATTTTGTGTTATTGTCAAACTTTAAAATTCAAGATTTCAAGATTTTATATTTTATTCTAGAAATATAAATTTCTAAACTTGACTTGGACACCATATTTGTAGTTGCCAAATGCACAGTAATCCAAAGAGTCCTTGAAAACTAATGATAAAAAATAAGGTGCACGAATGATCCACATTAATGATTGCAGAACCAGATGCAATATTGATGAAGTGCTTTTCTGTTCGGACGCAAAAATAAAGACGTACATTATACTAGTAATGTATTATTATAATGAGGACGCGCAATAATGACTCACTTTGCGGATGCACTTTTAAGAACACACTTTTTTTTGGGGGGGGGGGGGGCAAAATTTTCAAATTTTTTTAAGAATTTTTTTCTTAAAATGACAAAAAATCAGATTCTCAAAAAGTTAAAAATCAAATCATTCTTTGGTAAAATAGCTCAAATTATCAATTTCGCATGAAATATTGCATTGTAAGTTAACATAAATTATAATCATTCCAGCTGTTTGTGTAATCATATTCTAATAATCAAGAAATTTTCATCAGTACATATATATGATACAGATTAGAGAGAGGGGGGAGGGTAGGGCATACATATTGAGCATGAGACAGATATGGGAAGGGAGCGGGTTACGTTCCTTAAACATGATACAGATGGGGAGGGGGGGGGGTTATCTAACAATTAAATATGATATAAATGGGGAGGGAGGGGAAAGTACCTACATCGAACAAGATACAAATAGGGTGGGGTGGGGGTCCCTCCAATAAACCAGATGCAAATAGAATAGAGGTGGGGGGAGTGGGGGGGTTACGTACCTTGAACCCCTGATAAGAAATGAGCAAGTTAGGTTTCTCCTCCCTCCTCTACCATAGAAGAATACCCCACCAGGACTAGAGAAGGTATGCAGAGCATCAGATCGAAGGTTTCCTAAAAAACAGAAAAAAGTTTTATATCTGTAACCTAATTAAGTCAAATTAAAATTGATTTCATTTTATTGATATATTTCATTTTGAATTTCCAACATGTAACATAATAAACGAATTAAGTCTTTGTCACAAACACATATTTTCTAATCCCTATATCTTTGCAACCTTTGCTATATTAATTCATAGTTTGAAATATCTATCTTACGACATTGGGTTGCAAGGATATTCGAATTAGAAAATTAGGGTTTGTGGCAAAGACTCAATTCCCTTTGTTATATCCTTTAAGTGAATCGTAGTTGAGTCATTTTATAGGTAACAATTTCATTTATGTGACTTTGAATTTATAAACTATTTTATTAGGAAAGATATTAATTTTTATTTTAAAAATAGGAAAAAGCTTTATATCTCTAATATATCACGTCCATTAAAATAAACTTCATTTTAATTTTTACGTTTTCCATTGTAACTTCTCTTATTGAAGAGCAATTAAGAAAAAGAAAATTGTTTTGAATTTCTAACCTGTTACCAGATAAATTTCTAATATGTTACCAGATAAATTTCTAATACATTTACCAGATGAATTTCTAATATGTTACTAGATAAATTTCTAATATATTTACCAGATGAATTTCTAATATGTTACCAGATGAATGTCTAATATGTTACCAGATAAATTTCTAATATATTTACCAGATGAATTTCTAATATGTTACCAGATGAATTTCTAATATGTTACTAGATAAATTTCTAATATATTTACCAGACGAATTTCTAATATGTTACCAGATAAATTTCTAATATGTTACCAGATAAATTTCTAATATGTTGCCAGATAAATTTCTAATCTGTTACTTTTCATACTTGTGCGTAAAATAAAATCTAGAGGAGCTACAAGGTCACAAAGCTGTACCAATAATATCGGAAAACTTCTTTTTTGTTTGAAGTGTCCTTTTTTTAAATATTGTCTTTGAAATTTATTATTTATGTTATTAAATGCATTGAAAAGTTTCAAATTTAAAAGTTTTTTTTTAGTTTTATTCGCTCAATTCCTCGAGCATTTCTTGGTCAATTCTTAAACATTTTTCAAAAGTTCCAACAAATTAAACAGTTAAAATTTTCCTAAATTCCTAAATTTAGTTTTTTTTTAAATTATTTAAATTCCCTTTTTTAAATTGTATTTGATGTATTTGTTAGAACTCCAGAATATGTAATATCAGACAATCGTCTCTAAAAGCTGATTATCTGTGGAAAACCCAATATCGAGAATGCAACAACTGAATATTCAGGTTTGCTTTAAAGGGACTGTCATTGTAAATTCAAGTGATCCTCAATTTTAAGAGGTCCATGTTGACTCACAACGATGACCTTTAAACATGTATTTAAAAATAAGGTGGGAGATATCATCGTTTTTCTAGAAAGGTCTTTAATTTTGACAATTTTTATTCATTGCTTCTGCAGCATGAAGTCCAAAATTGTCAGTTTTAAATGAAAACCATATTAAAAATCATCCATTTTTAAAGTTAAAAACTTAGATATTTCATTAATTCTAGATCATGACAAAGCCTTTAATAATACTATTGTCAATCGGACATGCCCCTCAATAAATGGATGGTTACTAAAAATTACGTCTTCAGTTCCTTTTCAGATTTAATGTCTTAAAGTCGTTAAAAAACTAAGATCTGGAAGCTTCCAGGAATAGAACTCTGAAGGTAACTGAAAATGTTGTGTTTATTGTTTACTTTGGAAATAAAATAAAAATATAAGATCAACTAGTTTTTATTTTGGGACAAGTCACAAATACTTCGAAATTACTTTTTTAAATATACAACAAAAATTTATAAAATTTACTCCATATTACATAAAAAATAAAAATAAATACAAATTTCTAAATATCTAATCAGCATTTTTCACCCTAAAAATGTTAGAAATTAAGAACTAACATAATTAAAATCTGTTTTTTTTTACGGTCAAAGTAATTAAAATATTAAACTTCCCAAAGAAAAAGTTGAATTGACTTTTGAAATGAGCATAAAAAATGTTGTTTTGCAAAAACCTCTCAGAGAGGAATTTTTTAATACTTCTTTTTTATTCTAAAATGTAAAAATGGTGTTTTTCTAAAAATAAAATCTGACCTCCGGCGAAAACACTGACGAATTGTCTGTCACAGTTTGCAAGTTGGTTAACTTCTCTTTCCTCCTCTCGTACCTCCTCCAGTCCTCCATCTTCATCCTCATCCTCATCCTGATACAATATATCATTAAAATCTTCCTCACCCTGATACAATATATCATTATTCTCATCCTCATCCTCATCCTGATACAATATATCATTAAAATCATCCTCACCCTGATAAAATATATCATTATTCTCATCCTCATCCTCATCCTGATATAATATATCATTAAAATCATCCTCACCCTGATACAATATATCATTGTTCTCATCCTCATCCTCATCCTGATACAATATATTATTATTCTCATCATCCTCATCCTGATACAATATATCATTATTCTCATCCTCATCCTCATCCTGATACAATATATCATTATTCTCATCCTCATCCTCACCAGCTGATACAATATATCATTATTCTGATCCTCATCCTCATCCTAATCCTCACCCTCATACAATATATTATTACCCTCATCCTGATCAAATAATTCAAACTTAATTTAAACTCTTGCTAAATATTCAAAAATATAGTCATCCATCCATTCTACGAATTCTTTATTTTTTTCATGTTGGCAAAATCTTCCCCTTGGTCTACTATCCTGAAACCTATGGTAAATATCTCCTTGTTCTACTATCCTGAAACCTATGGTAAATATCTCCTTGTTCTACTATCCTGAAACCTATGGTAAATATCTCCTTGTTCTACTATCCTGAAACCTATGGTAAATATCTCCTTGTTCTACTATCCTGAAACCTATGGTAAATATCTCCTTGTTCTACTATCCTGAAACCTATGGTAAATATCTCCTTGTTCTACTATCCTGAAACCTATGGTAAATATCTCCTTGTTCTACTATCCTGAAACCTATGGTAAATATCTCCTTGTTCTACTATCCTGAAACCTATGGTAAATATCTCCTTGTTCTACTATCCTGAAACCTATGGTAAATATCTCCTTGTTCTACTATCCTGAAACCTATGGTAAATATCTCCTTGTTCTACTATCCTGAAACCTATGGTAAATATCTCCTTGTTCTACTATCCTGAAACCTATGGTAAATATCTCCTTGTTCTACTATCCTGAAACCTATGGTAAATATCTCCTTGTTCTACTATCCTGAAACCTATGGTAAATATCTCCTTGTTCTACTAACCTTAAACCTATGGTTTCTGTAATATGAAAGCCTCGTAATATAGATATATTATCTTCTATCCTACACTGCAGTACAGAGTACTCTTTAAGGGATTGTTCATATTTCAAAACTTACATTTAAACAAAGTTTTACAAATATAATAAAATGTTGTTTAAATAAAAGATATTTTTTGATAACATTTTTTACAGCTCGATCAATAAACCTAATGATGCAGAAAATATGAAAAGAGTTGGGCGAAAAATAATACAAGGATAGAATAGAACTGTTTTGATGAGGGATAATATTGTATAAATGAGGGATAATATTGAATGCATAAGGAATAATATTGCATGGATGAGGGCTAATATTGAATGCATAAGGAATAATATTGCATGGATGAGGGATAATATTGCATGTATATGGGATAATATTGCATGTATAAGGGATGATATTGCATGGATAAGGGAAAATATTGAATGCATAAGGAATAATATTGCATGGATGAGGGATAATATTGCATGTATATGGGATAATATTGCATGTATAAGGGATAATATTGCATGGATAAGGGAAAATATTGAATGGATGAGGGATAATATTGAATGGATGAGGGATAATATTTCATAGATGAGGGATAATATTGCATAAATGAGGGATAATAATGCATGGATGAGGGATAATAATGCATGGATGAATTGAGGGGTTATAATGCATAGATTAGGAACAATATAAAAGCATAATATTGTATAGATAAGAGAAAGGATAAAAAAGTAAATGTAAAGCTATGGTTTATGAATACGTATTCTGTTACAAAATGGCAGTTGTGTGTGTTTGTGTGCGGCGTGTATGCTAATGATGTTAGAAGGTAGGTTGTAGTAGGGGATACATACATTAATATTAACATACAAGAATATTATGTATTTCTAGTCTCAGGTTCTTATTAATAGAAATATATCTATAAACAATTCGGAAAATGGTAAACTAAGAGAAATAATTCGGACAACGGTAAACACTTTAGAAAACGGTAAACAAGAAACACTTTAGAAAACGGTAAACAAGAAACCCTTTAGAAAACGGTAAACAAGAAACACTTTAGAAAACGGTAAACAAGAAACATTTTAGAAAACGGTAAACAAGAAACACTTTAGAGAACGGTAAACAAGAAACACTTTAGAAAACGGTAAACAAGAAACACTTAAGAAAACGGTAAACAAGAAACACTTTGTAAAACGGTAAACAAGAAACACTTTAGAAAACGTTAAACAAAAAACACCTTTAGAAAAGGTAAACAAGAAACACTTTAGAAAACGGTAACAAGAAACCCTTTAGAAAACGTTAAACAAAAAACACTTTGGAGAATGGAAAACAAGAAACACTTTCAAAATGGTCAGGGGCGGATACGGGATTTCAGCTGAAAAACTCGAAATGGGTCAACATTAATAAATAAAAGCTAAAAAACTAGATTTTTTACTTGATCACACATCATAGAGGGGGAGAAGAGCGAAGGACTTACGTAATATTGGAAAACGGTAAACAAGAAACACTTTAGAAAACGGTAAACAAGAAACACTTTAGAAAATGGTAAACAAGAAACACTTTAGAAAATGGTAAACAAGAAACACTTTAGAAAACGTTAAACAAAAAACACCTTTAGAAAAGGTAAACTTGAAACCCTTTAGAAAACGTTAAACAAGAAACACTTTGGAAAATGGAAAACTATAAACACTTTAGAAAACAGTAAACTAGAAAACCTTTGGCCAATTGTAAACTAGAAAACCTTTGGCCAATTGTAAACTAGAAAACCTTTGGCCAATTGTAAACTAGAAAACCTTTGGCCAATTGTAAACTATAAACACTTTGGAAAATGGAAAACTTTAAACACTTTAGAAAACAGTAAGCTAGAAAACCTTTAGCCAATTGTAAACTAGAAACACTTTGGAAAATGGTAAAATAAAAGCACTTTGGAAAACAGTAAACTAGAAAACCTTTGGCCTTTTGGAAAACGGAAAAATAGAAACACTTTGGAAAATGGTAAACTCCCTTTGGAAAACGGTAAACTGAGAACACTTTTTTGCAAAATTGGTAAAAAAGAACCACTTTGGCAAAAGAGTAAACTAGTTGCACTTTGGAAAATGGTAAACTTAAAACAATCGATGTTGTAGATCTTTCATGTTTCAAACTAAGAATTCAGTTAGATCTACTAGCCTAAGCTTGAAATATCTAAGGTTTACACCTTCAGGTTGCAAAGAAAGAATTATTAAATGTGAGTTTGTGGTGAAAACTCTGTTATTTTGTTTGCTGAAACATGAATTGGTTTAATAAAATCTAGCAATTAGAGATACGAGAGAATAGTTTATTTTATCAACATATAATTTAAAAAGTTGATCTAATGGAACTTCCCAATCTTTCTTTTACAATTATTATTTTCAATTTTCAATAAGGATAAAAAGATAAAAAGTCAAGTTTTCGATTTAATTCTCATACGGTAGTCGCTAGAATGATTTGTAACAGAAAAATCACATAAGAGCCCTTGCTATTAAAGCTTCGTCTCTAGACCCAGATTTGAGGCTCAATCTTAGACGACAGCTTGTGTCACGTGATCGAAAGCTGCGAGCTCTTAGACTCGACTTACGGAGTTAGGCCCGATGAAAATAAAACCGACCTTGGTTGATTTTAGTGAGAATTAGTCTCAATGTTGAGTCTTATTCTAATCAAATACCTCAAATCCATCTACTCAGTCTCTAATCATGAAAATCCACCAAATACAATATTAAATCGGCTAAATAAACTCTGTGGAAAATTAGTTCAACTGTAATCCTAAAGCTTGTGTACTTCTTAAATTAGACTCAATTTGACAGTTTAGACCTGAGTCATAATTTCCAAATTTTATAAATCACAGGCTGAGGGTTAATAAATAGTAAATAAATATTTAAATATATATCTTGATATTTTCCCAATATATTGGAAAATTTGGTAAAGGGTCTAGAGAGAAAATTCTGGGAAACAGTTCACAACACTCAATAATCTATCTATAAATATTTTCTGTTTGTGGGTTTGTTTGTATCCAATAAACGTCAATATGGCTGAACCGATCGGGCCTGTTTTTTTGTGTGTGGCATTTTTCACGTAACACCTCAGGGAAATAATAATTTTTGGAATCAAAATTATTCAAGAAATTTAACAATTGTTTTATAATTTAGATATGCACAACAAAATGGTTGGAATTAAAGCAAAATTTAAAGGGAGTGTTCGCGAAAAATGAAAGGGGGTGAAAGGTTGTTATGATCTGAGAGTTACTTATAAAAACATTTATTCCTGTTTCTTGGATTTTTGGTAATGAAGACGACATTTTCATATTTTTCAGGAATGTTCGAAAACAAGTTGGAAGCTAAATGTTATTTAAAAAATAAAATCAAAACATATTATGAAAAATCAACTATATACAAATGTGGCGAAAGATAATCGATGACCATAGGGTGTAATTTCTGAATGATTTGTTTGAAATTAAATAGATTTTTTCACGGACTAAGTCGTATGTTGCATCTTTCTGAATTTGTATGGATAGGGAGGGGGTGCAGAGGCGCCATGATCCCCGCAAAAATGATCTCCGAACCTCAGGATTTGCAGAATTACCTCCAGGCCCCGCAAAACTGGTCTCACAGCCTCAGTGACGTCACCAAGCCTTCCGCCATTCTGTCTCCACTTTCCTTCTGTCATCATCTTCTAAAGCCTCCCTCCCCTCCACGTCTCCTTGTGATCTATTTTAGCTTCCTGGAAGCAACATCCTTCTTTACAAATACACAAATCTACATATACCTAGAGAATACAAGAGTAGGAGGGCAAGGTTTAGGGTTTCCAGCATTCCGTTCGTAGACAAAAAATGCGAGAAAAAATTGCGAAATATTCATTTTCACGAAAAAGTTTGCGAAATAGATTGGAAAATTTTCGTGAAATTTCGCATTTTTCGCTAAAGTTTTCCTTCGTTGGAAACCCTAGCAACGTTCCGTCGAAGAAGAAAGTTTTGAAAAATTAACGGACAATTTCGTTTACGAACAGAAAACTCAGTTAACATTCAATTCATTGACTAAAATAACAATTTTGTTTTAAGTTCAGAAGGTTTCTGATCTTTCCGTTACATTAATTTAACTAATCGTCAAGGATCGGATAGAAAATATATTATCGTGCCCATACCTAGGCGTATATATATCCTCTGTATTCAATATTTTCTATAGTTCCGATTCATGATCAGTGATCAATACATAATTTATAACAACACTTTAACAAAGTGATAAAATATTGCTCTGTCATAAACTAATATTTTTATAATATCGCCTGATCTAAAAACTATTCTCAAGTCATATCTCTTACACACAATCAGAAAACATGATTAAGGACATATTGTCAATTTTTTCTCGCAATTCGTTAGATCTGCAGACCTATGGATGAATATGTTATTATAATATTATTTTTAAAATAGTCTAGCACTCGTTCATGAGATAATTCTAAAAAGGGAACTCTTGTGAATTATTAATGGAATTCTTCTATCTCTGCGTCACTTAGATTGAAGTGAACCATCCCATTATAGGGAACTGATAACTTACTACAAACTATGAATTCTGCTAATATATAGAAAATAAAAGATTTACTCCATCATTATCATCAAGATTTTAAACTAGAGTTTGGGACGAGTATTTAGTTTCTTTACATTACTCCTGTCCTAGCTGAAATATTTAAATATGAAAATAATCAACTTATTTCCAAAAAAAATATTTAAAAAAGTGTTTCCTACCTTTATGAACTCGAACTGTATCTCGAACTTGATATTGTTGATAACTGTAGTTTCCTACCTTTATGAACTCGAACTGTATCTCGAACTTGATATTATTGGTAACTGTAGTTTCCTACCTTTATGAACTCGAACTGTATCTCGAACTTGATAACTGTAGTTTCCTACCTTTATGAACTCGAACTGTATCTCGAACTTGATATTATTGATAACTGTAGTTTCCTACCTTTATGAACTCGAACTGTATCTCGAACTTGATATTGTTGATAACTGTAGTTTCTCCGATCTCTTGAACCAATGTTAATCTACCACCTGGACAAAATATCAAACTCAACCACAGAACACAGAGAATAAGAAATATTTAAAGTAGTAAATGTATAGTAGTCGAACTGAGAATGTAGTATTGTAGAGATTTTTTTAAAGATTTTAGGTGGGAACGTTTTGAGAATCGATTTTTTTAAAACTATGAAATAACGACGACAAAAAATAATTCTACAGTAAACTAAATAGATGTTTAGGAATATATTTATCAATAGAAATGTTCTCAATGAATCAATGTTTGAATCAATTATTTCTTTTCATCATTATATTGAATATCTTATTCTTTATGATTTTTTTCGCAGATTTCTTCAAATTCTTCAATTGTCAAATGTCGTTTTTAAAATAAAATTCCAGGAAATTCTATGAGGAACAAATATGCACCGTAAAACGTCTCATATGTCTTAAATGATTCCTAAAACATATTTCTACACAATACTACATTCTCCGTTCAACTACCATACATTTCCGGTCACTACCTGTAAAGAAAACAACAGACAAGACTTAACNTCCAATCCCCTTTGTAAATACCCCCTCCAGTTTCCTCCTCTCCCCCCTGGCCACAACCACAACTTCTAGTTTGAAAGTAAAGTTTTGATCCTTGAATTCATAAACCGAAACTTTAACTCAGACTCAAAGCTCACAAAATTCTGCACAGAGTACAGATCACAGCGCATACAAGAGCATAGAGCACAGAGCATAGTGCATGGAGCGCAGTGTACGGAGTGCAGTGCACAAGAACACAGTTCACAGAGAACAGAGGACAGAGCACAGTGCACACAAGAGCAAAGAGCACAGAGAATAGTGCACGGAGCACAGTGCACAAGAGCAAGGAGCATAGTGCACAGTGCACAAGAGCACAGTGCACAAGAGCACAGTGCACACGAACACAGTGCACAAGAGCACAGTGGACAAGAGCACAGTGCACAAGAGCACAGTGCACACGAGCACAGTGCACAAGAGCACAGTGCACAAGAGCACAGTGGACAAGAGCACAGTGGACAAGAGCACAGTGTACACGAACACAGTTCACAGAGCACAGAGGACAAAGCACAGAGCACAGTGCACACATGAGCATAGAGCACAGAGAATAGTGCACAGAGCACAGTGCAAAAGAGCACGGAGCACAGTGCACAAGAGCACAGTGCACAAGAGCACAGTGCACAAGAGCACAGTGCAAAAGAGCACAGTGGACAGCATAGGATTTATAATTGAATTTATAATGTATCTACATCATGGGGAGACAGTGGCGTATATAAGGAAGGGGGGTATGGGGGGAACCCCCTGTATCAGTGACATCTATGATTTCCCGGAGTTTTCAAGCTACAACGCCCCTGCAGGTAAAATACAACAAAGTAAAGAGTAAAGTTCGGAAAATAATGAATAATATTTTAAAACTGATGATTAACGAAATGGACATTTTAAAACTAAAAATCAGATTATAATAGAAAATAAATAAATGTATTTATAAATGAATAAAGAACAGTTTTCTTGGCAGAGATAAATCAAATATTTTATTGTGTTTGGCAGAATATGTAGTGTTATATCATTAACAATTAGTTCTATTGCTATTCTGTAAAAATAAATATCTTATTTTGCTGAACTGAAGAGAGGGGAGTGATTCATTATAATTGCAAAATAGAATTATAATAAGATTAGATTTATGAATAGCAATAACTCTTTTTCTTTACTGAAAGTTTTCCTGTGTATACGCAGTATATCTAGACTATCTATATATTCATATAATGCTGTAATCTCTGTTTGTTTGTTTGTTTGTTTGTCTGATTATATAACTCTGGAATCTCTTCAGCGATTTGCCTCAAATTTTTACTGGGAGATATTCTCGGGAATGGGTTTAGCTTGTTTTTGAGATTCCAAGTTGAATGGGTCCACTTTTATAGGGAAAATAGTTAAAATCGTAAATTACGACCAAGCACGGGTAAACGGCGACTATGAGTTCCTTGGGAATTTCAAACAGGATTAAAAGAGAAAAAATTGAAAAGGGCAGGTTCACGTGACTTGTGTCTGTCGATTCAGTCAACGTTTGAGTATCTTTAACAAATTTCATAAACATTCCGTTTGCCTTGATCCAACCAAACATATTTAAATCTTTATTTTCATTTTAGTTTTAATGCAAAATCCATGATATACATGTTATGCTTTGAGTGCATAAACGGATAATCCAAACCTTTCCCCACGGGCGGGGAAAGGCAGGCGGCCATGAGCCACAAAAATTTCCCCTTCCATGCCACATATAATCTTTTTTTGTCTTCCGGCAGCCATGAGCCACAACCAACTGTCTTCCACGCCACAATATTTGAGTCTTCCGGGGCAGTATTAACTTTGGGGAAGTCTAAAGAATAAGAAAAGATGAGAAAAATCACAATATTAAATATAAGTTTAGCAGTTTACATTAAAAGGAATTGTCATTATTGCAATTTAAAACTTAAATATAAAGTTTTTATTTATATTTCTTTTCCATGACGTCGCTGGATTTTTAAAAATCACAATTTCAACGCACTAAATTAAGTATTTAAAAACGTCATAACTGCCGGAAGACTTAAATGCTGGGGCATGGAATACCGTACGGTTGTGGCTCATGGCTGCCGTCGGAAGAGAAAAAAGTTAATATGTGGCATGGAAGGGGAAAATGTTGTGGCTTATGGCCGCCTGCTTTCCACCGCTCTCCCGACCAAAGGGATTTCAGTAAATGTTTATTAGAATTCACAAATTCGGAAAATTTCATTTTAATTTTTTGTTCAAAAATAAAAATTAATTTTTTATTCGTTTTTGTTGTTGCAGCAAACTTCATTTTGTTTACCTTTTAAACCAGTTTGTTAGAGCTATTTCCAAAATTTCAATCTACTATTCTTAATTTTGCACTTTACAGTTTTAATTTGACAAAAGGCATTTGTTTCAAACTCTAATTTGATAAACCTTAAATCTTTGCAACCTGATGTCGTGGGCCAATCATATTTCAAACTAGATCTAATAGTAAAATTTCATGAATATCAATGATTCACACAATCAACTTGCAAAGTTATATGTATTAGAAAATTTCTATTTTATTTGTCTCTTAAACTATTAATTATCTTAAAAAGTTAACACGCACATTCTTGCGAACCGGGACCTTTAAAAAATACAGATCTCGAAATATTTAATTTTTATATAGAGCCTTTTTCCGTGTAACATATTTTCAGTATTTACATAGTATCATTGTGATAAATTCTTAGTATATATATATTATCATATTTTATATTTTATATTTATTTAATCTACATAATGGAGATAAAGAGTCGGACCAAATTCAAATCTCATAATTCCAAAATGGAGAAAATTCTATGTTTTCTTTATTATAATTTTAATATTCTTGATATTATGGTTCTTAAAGAGACAGTGAGCCTAATTTCAGCTAACTTATTATGCAAAGATGACAATGACTGATCAAGTATGAATTACAATTTTACAAACTGATTATTTTTATTTTTGTTTTTTCTAAAAAAGTTACATGCGCATTTCTAATAAAATGCGCATGAAAAATGTAAATAAAAAATGAAAATTGTAGTAATAATCAGAATTAAAAAATGTAAAGTCTAGAAAAACGACAATATCTTCTGCATATTAATGCAAAAATTAAGGTATCAGAGATACTTTTGTAAATCGGGCATTGTCATCTTAGCATTGAGTGCCACTTTAAATTACACTTACAGTCCCTTTAAACAGAGTTTTTAAAGAAAACTACAGATCTTGTTTTTGCAGTTTTTACCGTACAGATCTTATGGAACCAGAAAACTAGAAGTAGCTGAACCGGGAAACGTGGTTCAACTTATCTTGCGCACCAGTTCAAGCTAGTGAACTACGTCTATGAGGCTCAACCATGTCTCGCTATTCATTAAATCAGGCCCCTGTATGTATTATGACCTTATACTTTATCAAAGAAATGTCAACCCCTTTTGGATTCGTTTCCCGGCGAGACTTTCTCCCGAATTTTGCAGTACGTTTTGTCTTAAAGCAGAGATAAGAGAGTTACAGAGATTGATTATCAGCTAAAATATGCGATATTTTCCACAGCATGTTCTATTGTGTATACAAGTACTGTATACGGCCAATCAGCAAACATCTGTATTCAGGGATATTTAAGGATCCTTTGGATTCGAAACACAAAATCTTCAATAAAAGACTGAATTCATAAATGTTATGTTTCATGTTTAAAATTGGAGTATTTCTTTAACAGTTGTAAAACTTAACCCCTGAATGGGTATTATGTTCAACAAGTGTCCGTGAGATGCACTCCAAAAACCTATTGTAAAAATGTAGTATGTCGTGCCGGGTCAACTTAGGCCTACGTAGCCCACCCTGAGAAAAGAGATAAGCAGTCTGTGTAGTCTATGTCTTAAAGGGACATTTGTCCGAATGTAAACATTGGTAAGAAGGGATATCTCAGAAAGAACCCCGAAAAAGGGGAGTTGTTGTTCAGGGGCCAATATTTTTATTTATCGCATTTTTTTTTGTCTAACTCCTTTCCGATATTTGCTAAAAGAATTGAAGGGATTTTTTTTTATGCTTGGCGTCAAACATTATAGAAATCCAATCCCAATTGTTGCTGTACCTAGCGATTTCTATACGTTGGATTTCAATTATGCCTTTTTTCACTGTTTTTTAGAAGACGACATTTAGTTTAACAAAATCCACACAAAAAAATCATGAATTTTGTTGAATTGAGTTTATTTCCTGTTGATAAATAGCTCTCCCCACCAGGTCTACACACCCTAAACATAAATAGTAGATTATTCTTAATAAGCGCCATCAATAAACAGATCGATCAGTAGATTTGAAACCGCGATCTTTGATCAAGAAATGGATCAAGAAAAAGATTGATTTGGATTAACCGATTTATTGACTAGTTTATTGATTGATTAGTCTTTGTATAGACTACAACATTGATGAATTGATTGATCTTTGTATCAATAAATCGATCAACAAGTAGATTGATGGATTAAATAACAAAAATACTCACCAAAAAGTAGATTAACCGATCTTTGGATTTAATTGTGTATTAGCTCAATAATTTAATTCGTGATTGATCTTGAGATCTATCAATTGTTTGACTATAAGATCAATATCTTGGTCAATATAATAAAATAGATAGTTAAAAAAAAACGTTCCTCCACCCCAATCGGAATAAATCGTTTATTTTCAATAAAAGCCAATCATAATGTTAAAAACTAAAGTTTTATCTAAAAGTCTAAAATTGAATACACAGCTGCTTTTTGTTTTGATCAGAAATTGTAATTTCATATTTCGATAAATATCATCAATATTATTTTGTTATTTCATAAACGCTATGAGAAATATTGATAAAGTAGAAAAAAGTATTGTTTGACCCTGTAAAGAGATGTTGTTTATAACACTGTTATGTATCTACATAAATAAAGTATATTTAACATTTCATCCCCCCTCACATACAGGGTGTCCGATTAAAGAGGTAAAGATGTACAGTTGAGAAACTACTTAAAATCGTCCCTAATCCTTAATGGCAAGCTTTTTTGATGCACTTTGTCATTACATAGCTATTATAGATCAAAGTGGTACGTCAACTGTCATTTTTAGAGGGATGCCCTGTAGTTTTCTTTTATGTTCTTGGACCTGGTTTATACAATAAGTTTTCTTATTTATGATTTTTATCCAGCTTTTATAGAGTTTACCACCTAGTAGAAACTAGTTTATATACAGAGTGAGGCAAAAAAGGGGTGAATAGAAATAGATCAGAGCTGGGAACTTTTAAATGGGATATCCTTAATCCCGATAGGTTATTTAATCTGGAGATTAATTACAAGAGGAGAACAAGCAATATTTAATCTGGAGATCGAGAAAAAGAGGAGATCAAGCATTGATCTCGATATCCACCATTCTAAAGTCTTCAGCTCAGATGAGTAGTTTCGGAGAAAATGCGCGAAACTAAATAAAGAAAACAGCATGGAACAATAATGTAAACATATGACACTATGTTTAGAAATATAAACAATAGGTTATACTGTTGAATAAATCCAACTAAGAAGCTGTTTTCTTACTTATACTCATATTTTCTTACAGGAATATTATATGGAAATATTTTAGACTTATATTCAAACAAGACAGATTCGATGTCTCACATCATCAATCAAAATTATTTTCAGAGGCAAATATCTGAAGAAGGAGGGAATAGAGCTATGGGTCCGAGGGAGGGGATGGAGTGCTAAGGGGGGGGGGGATTTTTAAACCATGAGTATCAGTAAAACACAGGTTCTTTAAAAACTAATCTCAACAGACATTTAATTTTAAACATGGATGAAATACGTGTACAGTCTCTACAGTCACTTTAAACATGGATGAAATACGTCAACAGTCTCTACAGTCACTTTAAACATGGTGGAAATAAGTTGTTGATATGTTTGACTATTTTAAGTTCTAAAAGTCTGGTGGAAATGGTTCTCTCGATTCCTGGGACATGCAAACCAAGATTTTCAACTTTTCTCTGCAGTTTTTTCATTAAGAATTTGCCTAGGCTTTCCAGGGAATACAAACTTTCCCGAAAGGTAGCGAAAACGGTGCTGAATATCGTGGAAAACTGGGCATTAATCTTTTTCGCGAAAAAATGTGAAATTTTCGCGAAACAAAAAATGCAAAACTTTCCGAAAAAGCGAAACTATTCGAACGGAATTCGAAATTTTCGGCGAAACTATTTCTCCATTTCGCTGGAAACCCTAGTTTGCATACATAAATATTTACCAACTTTAATACAGTCACGGAGCACCATTTCATCTTACTTTAAACATTAAATTATTCTAGATTTCACTTTTGTATACAAATACTGAAATAGGGTGATGTACAAATGTTTCCCACAAAACCATGACAATTTAAAGACGACCCAGGTAGAAGTAAAACATATGCGCGAAGCTCGCACGGAACAATTGGATAATTACGATGATTTAAACTACCTGTAAAGTAATATTTTACAACAAATAAAGCCCTGCTTACGTTTCTTTGCCTGTTTTTAACTACATAAGAATGCAATATCCAATTAACTTGATCATCTTCAAATTATCGAGTTTGGTGGAGCATATACTTTATATTTTATCAGTCAGGGATAAAAATAATCTGGAGACAATCAATCCAACGTCTGTAACTGATTTTTATAATCTAACCAAAACTGATTCATTTAGTTTTGCGCTGATTGGGATTGGTTTAGTGCTGATTAATCTAAACTTAAAGGAAATGTTCGTGCATTGTATTTAGAACACAAATATCATGAAATATCAATTATGTACGAATGCGTCAAAAAATAATGGATGACTTTAGATTGTAATATCTGAATGATTTGTTTAAAATTGAATTCATTTTTTACGATACGACTCGTATATTGCAACTTTCCGAATTTGTATGGACGCTACGTTCTTCAGCATAAGTCGTTTTTAACAATTTTCTCTGTATAGACACAACAGATAGTAAGATTAGTAGCGATCAAAAATGATTATTTTTCGCCGTAGGCATATACCCCCTTTCATTTTTTGCGAACACTCCCTTTAAGCTGGCTGATTATACCTGGAGCAGGTGGAGCTATATGACTACAAATCTGGAAGTATTGGTCTGTATATTACGACAAACTGGAGATGATTTAACTAACTTGGAGGTATTGGTCTGTAAATTGTGACAAACTGGAGCTGATTTAACTAACCGAGAGGTATTGGTCTGTATATTATGGCAAATTGGAGCTGACTAAACTAACCTGGAGGTATTGGTCTGTACATTATGACAAACTGGAGCTGATTTAACTAACCTGGAGGTATTGGTCTGTATATTATGACAAACTTGAGGAGGGTTTTCATCACAGAATTCTCCGAGCTGACTACCATTGTATGATTTAAATGGAGGACCATCCAACAACCTGAAAAAAAAGCAAAACTTTAATTTTCCAAGTTTTTACAAATAATTTCCATGTAGGTTTTGAGCAGAGCAGGGAACTTTAAAATTGGTTGAAAATTTTAACTTATTACATTCATTTAAAAGTTTAAAGCTCAGATTTCCGATTTAAAGTCTTTCTCGAAATGGAAAAAAATCCGAAAAAAATGTTTACCTTAGTTTGTTACTACAGTAAGCAGTTCTATAGATATCTAGCTTCAGATGATGGGATTCAAAACTTCGAAATATCAGCCATACTTGCTCCCCTGGTCCACCCTTTATATTCATTACTTAAACATGGTCTACCCTTTATATTCCTTACTTAAACATGGTCCACCCTTATTATCTAATACTTAAACATGGTCCACCCTTTATATTCCTTACTTAAACATGGTCCACCCTTATTATCTAATACTTAAACATGGTACACCCTTTATATTCATTACTTAAACATTCCACCCTTATTATCTAATACCTAAACATGGTCCGCCCTTAATATTGATTACTTAAAAATGGTCCACACTTTATATTTATTACTTAAACATGGTCCACCCTTTATATTTATTACTTAAACATGGTCCACACTTTATATTTATTACTTAAACATGGTCCACACTTTATATTTATTACTTAAACATGGTCCACCCTTTATATTTATTACTTAAACATGGTCCATCCTTTATATTTATTACTTAAACATGGTCCACACTTTATATGCATTACTTAAACATGGTCCACACTTTATATTTATTACTGAAACATGGTCCACCCTTTATATTCATTACTTAAACATGGTCCACCCTTTATATTCATTACTTAAACATGGTCCACACTTTATATTTATTACTTAAACATGGTCCATCCTTTATATTCATTACTTAAACATAGTCCACCCTTTTTATTCATTACTTAAACATAGTCCACACTTTATATTTATTACTTAAACATGGTCCACACTTTATATTCATTACTTAAACATGGTCCACCCTTTATATTCATTACTTAAACATGGTCCACCCTTTATATTTATTACTTAAACATGGTCCACCCTTTATATTCATTACTTAAACATGGTCCACCCTTTATATTCATAACTTTTAATAATTTCTTATAAATGGTTCAAACTTCCTCTATCTTAGATTCATTAACATGCCTTTTCTACGAGAAAAGTTCCTGATCTAAGATGTGAATAAAAAAGTTTAAACTAAGAAACGGAACTAGGGCTGGGCAAGTTCCTGATCTAAGATGTGAATAAAAAAGTTTAAACTAAGAAATGGAACTAGGGCTGGGCAAGTTAATACTTTTTCAATCCGTTCCGTCAACGGTTAGTTTGTTTTTTACAAATATATTAAAAATTATTTCTGTTCATCAATGGCGTTTTCCAAAATTCAAATAAACTTCCATCGGCAACGTAACTTTTCTCAACCCTTGTATCATGTTTTCTCAACCCTTGTATCATGTTTTGAAAGTTTTTGTCTTAAAATTCTAAAAAATTCATAATGTTTGTTTAAGCTAGTTTTAGATATAAGTTAACGAAATTGTTCAATCAATATCTACAAAATTAAAGGGACTGTAAAGTAAATATGAAAGGGGGTATAGGATGAAACCTGAGATTCTTAGGCGTTAAACGAAACATATAATGAGCATCTATCTGATGATCCTGTCTCGAGAAATTGATATAAAAATGGGTCAAAATTATACGAAAATTCATATACATACAATTTTGTATAAAATTATTAGGTTTAAACAGATTATATTCAGTAAATACACAACCAATCTAAAACTATTTTGTGGGATATCGTCGTTTTCAGATTGGTTTCGTATTTGTGGAATATGATCTGATTATAATATTACAACTTTTATACAAAATTGCACATATATGAATTTTCGTATAAATTTGAAATGTGTATATATGTATCGTTCAACGCCTGAGATTCTCAGGTTTCATCCTTTACCCCCTTTCATTTTTCCTTTCCAGTCCCTTTAAAGATGTTTCCTAAATATTTTGGAGGATTTTTCCGCATGTTAACGATTATTTCCGCTTTCTTAAAAAACAAACTTCGTTCGTCAACGGAAACCTGGCCCAGCCCTAAGTGAAAGAGCTAGGGTTCCGGTCTGAGCTAACATCTGTAGATTTTTCAATTAATAGGAAGAATGAAGTATGAGAGAGAGAGAGATAAGAAGTTTGAAATAAAAGTTTCCAAAGTTAAATGAAAAGAAAATCTTTCAACTTAAAATCTTTTCTAATGAAGCATTTAATGAAGCAGGGAGGGAGAAGTGAGATTAACAAACTTGAAAAAAAAACTAAGTTGAATATGAAATATTTGGTTTGCCAATGTTGGAACATCTTATAATAATTCATATAGTTTAGAATTCAAAACATACGGGATGTAATAACTGACTGAGACCTGACTATGTATAAAGAAGACGACATCTAAAAAATCTAATTTTTGAGCCAAAATACAACTAATGCTTGAAAGTCAACTTATGAAGTAAAATGGGTCTGTTTACATTGCACAATTGCTGTCTTGTTAAATCATATTTAAAATTTTTAACTTTTTGTTTGTTTGTGTCCAATAAACGTCAAAACGTCGAGGACGCATATTGAAGATGAACAATGAGCACGCAGATTGGGACGCACTCAGGGAAGTGTCCATACATTGTTAAAAAGGGGCTTAATTTATTTTTGGGCGCCTGAGAACCCCTGGAAATCAGAGTTTTCATTGATCCAGGGGGCCGTATGACCCCCCCCCCCCTATATACGCATCTAGACGCAGAGGACAAATTGTGAGACTGGGCAAAAGAAGGATATATACATAGATATATAGATTGATAGAATGAGAAAACAAATCGATACATTTACATATTATAAAGTTTTATAGTTTGAACAACACGTTAAAAGCAAGTTATACGTCTGCTCACGCATTATTGAAAATAACTTTTTTTTTTAATAAACAAACGATAGAATTGAAAATGGTTATTTTTTAAGGGTTTTAAAGAAAAGAACTGAAGTCTTATTATTCCAGCCGTTATACGTATGATCTATTTAACCATTGGACTGTTTGAAATTATAACCTAATTCTATTAAAAAAATAGAGATTGATATTATTAACCTATTCGATAAATTTACATATTCTAAAGTTTTACTGTTTAAACAACACTTTTATAAGGAAGTCAAACTATACAATGCCCTCGTGGGATGTAATTAAAATAAAAAATTACAATTTTATTGTTCCAGTATGATAAAACATTTAATTCGATTCGGTACATTTTAGAATTAATTTTCCTCTGTATAAAACTGGCCTAATATTTGAACTCAAAATTACTCCATTAGGATTAAAAGCTTAGCTGGTATATCTCTTCTTCACTCAGGGTTTTATCTACAGGATGATTGTAAGAAACCGTTGATATAAACTTCCACAGCTTAATACCCGTTTTAATTAATTTAACAATCCCACAAAAATGTCTAAAAGTTGCAGTATAACAATTAATTAAATGAAAGTGGGGGAAGGGGAGTTTGTGGTCTATTTTTTTGTGAAAAAAATCGCCTTATTCAAGAAGTTTTTTTAAAGGAATGAATATAATAAGAAGTTATTGTAATTTTTTTAAGTAATTTTCCTGAAATGAGTAAGTACAAGTTGAGTTCCCAGGTAGATCATAAGGAACATTTGAGACCGTTCCGCGTTTTTGGTCTCCAGAGTGAAATGTGAAGCGGCATTCAGATTCAGCTTCGCGCATTTCTGGTCGGAAATCATCAACGAAGACGACTCCAACGTTCAACTCGAACCCTGCGAATTTGATCAGTTCTAAGAGAGAAAAAAATGTTATTTACTGACATGAAGAAACAGACTTCTGTTAATTTAAATAAAATATTCATTGTAGTGACTCCATTGATTTAAAAATCTATTTTGAATTACAATCTAAAATTCAAACGCAGAGTTTGTAATCAAACTGGTTTTCAAATTTCTTCTGGCCTTTTACCATACTTTGGTTTTACAGCGCACAATTTCACTTTCCCAAATATTTTAATAATGTCTATTTTTCTTTTTTTTTGTCGACTACTGCACACCACTGATTGCTGCTGATTAGCGCTGATTGCAACTGATTTAGAATTGATTACAGCTTAGCCCTTATCGTTAAACCAAGTAATTCAATGCGAGAGAGGAAAACAATTGGGTTGACCCCCCCCCTTTACATCCCCTCCTCTCTTCTCCTTAAATACCCCTCCCCCCTCCCACAGGCCCCATCTTCAACAATAAAAGAAATTGGAAAACAATTTAAACCTTTATAGAGATGCTACTCAATTTTCAACATAAACATTATATGGTTTTTTGTACCATGAACTGTTTGCTGTATTATGTGTACTGTGTACCATATACTGTGTACTGTATTCTGTGTGCCTTTAGTTCAACTAGAATTTCAGCTGAAAAAATTCTTTTTAAAACACTTTCTATTGTTCGAAAAATATTATTTTTGATAATAAACTGTAATTAAAAACATTTTGACTGTTTCCATTTACAAAATTTCATTCAAAAGATCTATTGTAACCAAGTTAACGTTTAGAAATTGATGTTTTTGCTAAATTCTTAATACCTACACTTCTACTTCAAACAAATGATATAACTTTGGATACGAGACAGATCAGTAAGTTAAAATTAAGATCTTTGCAAATACCTTTTTAAAAATATGTTAACGATAATGTGTTAAACATTATCTCGATATTAAATGTGGGCACTTTAATATGTGTAGATAAATGCTTGATCCCACAATTAAGGTTGTCCCTGCACTGTATGACCACCACTGGATATCAAAGAGGATTAAAATTAGGTCTTGTAGTATAAAATACAGTTTAACTCAGAACTTTGGAAACATCGAAAGCCTTTTTAAAATGTCGTCTTCAAAATGGAATGCTGCAGTATTTAATTTTTTTATTTAATAGTAATATGTACTATGAAGCTCTAAAAAACTATTCCCGCATATATCATGGCTAATTATTTATTAATACTACCGAGATTTGGGTATAACAGTATAAAACCCGTTGAAAAATTGTCAAGACGACAGTTTAAAAATCCTGGGTTAAACTCGTAAAATATAACAAAATAAAATAAACCACTAAATAAACAGCTCACTTATAACACAAAGTTATATAGAGTTAATTATAAGACTCTAACTTACTGAGGACTTAATTTCTAATTTAAGCTTTCTTAAAGTTGAAAGATTTCCAAAGTTTGGAAGGGTTTAGAAGAAAATGTAATAAATAAACACAATTAGCATTAATTAGTGTTATTTACAAAGAGTATATTAAGCGTACAGAAAATAACCAGCTACTCCGTAATATATACTCAGGTTAAGAGTATGTTAAAAAATGGAGAAAAAAAACTGTTTATTCGACATAAAATCTATTTTTCTAATCTACAGAAAAATGTATTTCTATCCTGCTAGAGTATATTTCTATCCTGTTATATTTCAATCTGCTGGAGTATATTTCTATCTGCTAAAGTATATTTATATCCTGCTAACGTATATTTCTATCCTGCTAGAATATATTTCTATCCTGCTAGAGTATATTTCTATCCTGCTAAAGTATATTTCTATCCTGCTAAAGTATATTTATATCCTGCTAAAGTATATTTATATCCTGCTAAAGTATATTTATATCCTGCTAGAGTATATTTCTATCCGGCTAAAGTATATTTCTATCCTGCTAAAGTATATTTATATCCTGCTAGATTATATTTATATCCGATAGAGTATATTTCTATCCTACTAAAGTATATTTACATCCTGCTAGAGTATATTTCTATCTGCTAGAGTATATTTATATCCTGCTAGAGTGTATTTTTATCTGCTAGAGTAAATTTCTATCCTGTGCTAAAGTATGTTTATATCCTGCTAGAGTATATTTCTATCCTGCTAGAGTATATTTCAATCTGCTGGAGTATATTTCTATCTGCTAAAGTATATTTATATCCTGCTAAAGTATATTTCCATCCTGCTAAAGTATATTTATATCCTGCTAGATTATATTTCTATCCGATAGATTATATTTCTATCCTGCTAAAGTATATTTATATCCTGCTAGAGTATATTTCTATCTGCTAGAGTATATTTATATCCTGCTCGAGTGTATTTTTATCTGCTAGAGTAAATTTCTATCCTGCTAAAGTATATTTATATCCTGCTGGAGTATAATTCTATCTGGCAAATTTCATTTCTATCTGCTAGATTATATTTATATCCTGCTAAAGTATATTTATATCCTGCTAAAGTATATTTATATCCTGCTAAAGTATATTTATATCCTGCTAGAGTATATTTATATCCTGCTAGAGTATATTTATATCCTGCTAAAGTATATTTCTATCCTGCTAGAGTATATTTCTATCCTGCTTAAGTATATTTATATCCTGCTGGAGTATATTTCTATCCTGCTAGAGTATATTTATATCCTGCTGGAGTATATTTATATCCTGCTAAAGTATATTTATATCTGCTAGAGTATATTTATATTTTGCTAAAGTATATTTATATCCTGCTGAAGTATATTTATATCCTGCTAAAGTATATTTATATCCTGCTAAAGTATATGTATTGAGCAGTTAGTTTAACTGCACATTCATTGGTTAACTCATAAAATAGAAAATAGTTTCGCTTTCATCGATACACACTATCATGTTTGCAAACTATCTAATAGTTGTAACTATTATCTATACACACTATCTAATAGTTGTAACTATCATGTTTGCAAACTATCTAATAGTTGTAACTATCATGTTTGCAAACTATCTAATAGTTGTAACTATCATCTATACAAACTATCTAATAGTTGTAAGTATCATCTATACAAACTATCAAATAGTTGTAACTACCATCTATACAACCTATCTAAAAGTTGTAACTATCATCTATACAAACTATCTAATAGTTGTAAGTATCATCTATACAAACTATCAAATAGTTGTAACTATCATCTATACAAACTATCTAATAGTTGTAAGTATCATCTATACAAACTATCTAATAGTTGTAACTATCATCTATACAAACTATCTAATAGTTGTAACTATCATCTATACAAACTATCTAATAGTTGTAACTATCATCCATAGAGAGTTTCACTTGAACACCCTATGTGACTAGATGTGTTTAAATGTTGTGTTGGTTCCGGAAATCTATTTCCATAAAGTTACCTTTACATCCGGTAATAGTAAACATAAATATCTCTATTCATTTGAACACATTACACCCAGACCAGCCATATACACTAGCAGAACGTATAACAAACTGCAACCATACATATTTAGATCAGCCTGGAGAAAGGGGCGGGAGTTCTTTTTCTAATGTTGTGCACAAGTTAGTGCTTCAGAACTTGCTTAGGAAAAGTAACCAAACTCTCGAAACAAACCTTATTTTCTAAACCCTATACATAAGCATGGAACCTGATGTCGCATATACTTCAAACTATAAATTAAGATAATAGTTTAAATAACAAAGTTTGACGCTTTTAGGTTGCAAAGATATGGGATTCGACGAAAGTAAAAGTTGGTGGCAAGGAAGTTCAAATCCTATGTTTTGTTACAGTTTTGACTAAAATTTGAGTTTGAAAGTTACAAGTTTAAATCATAATTCCAAAATTCCAAAGCTTTTAAAATCAAAACAAAAAGAAAGTAATAAAAGATAAATTTTCAGTTGTCACGACAAGAATATGAATACGTGAATTGGACCTGGTTCTTTATACAAAAAAAAATGAAAACAAAATAAAAAATTAAATCTCAATAAACTCCTTATGATTTTACTAGCGTCTTTGATCGATTGAATTTATTCCGCGCAGAGGGGGAGGGGGACTATTATATATTGGTTCCATTAATCCATTAAAAAGCGTTAAATAATGTTTCTCTTTGAGCTGATTAATTTTCCTGTATACGAGCTCAAGGAGGCACCTGGAGTAGAGTAGGGGGAAGATCTCATCTCTAAACAATAATTAGCAAATTATTCAGTTTTTTTTCTGATGTGAAAAAATATAGATTATTTTAATGGACAAGCAAATACCAGGGTAATATTAGATATTTTGTTAATCATTTCCTAGAAGCATATCCGGGCCTGAGGACACTATCCTCGGAACCTGACCTCCTCGACAGAAATCCAGAAGAACGGCGGGAGCAGTCCCTTTAAACAGATTATTTTGATTACTTGGAGAACTTTGAGACCTCGTTTAGCATCTAATTTTCATTTTTACTCTAAAACGCAAACTTGCTCGGTAAAAGAATCTTAACAAATCCTTAGTTCCACAGAAAAAGCCATGCAAAATTTTAGACTGAAATTTACAGCATAATTTGAAATATGAAAATATGAAAATATTAACTGAATACATGTTAAACCCATTGATGCAGAGGATTAACAAGCCAACCATAATCTATTCAACCATATTGTATATTAATCCTAGTAAAGATTAGCTTTACGCTCCAAATACAAAATGTTAAAGGGATTAGTCACGAATTAGAAAGTAAACAACAGATAAATTATATGTTTTTGTTTTCTTTTGTTTTTTTTTTTAAATAAAGAAAGAATTGTTTTATGCTTGTTTTAGGCTTGTTGTTGTTGTTATTGTTATTTCTAATGCTCTTGCTATTGTAATGTTGTTGATGTTTTTGTTGTTGTTGTTATTGTTATTTCTAATGCGCTTGCTATTGTAATGTTGTTGTTGTTTTTGTTGTTGTTGTCTGACCTCCTTGTAGATTGGGACCTTCGTAAACAGTTAGATGACCTCCTAGAACTGCACTGTACTGTTGTTATATTGTAATTGTTGTTTGTTGCTATTGCTTTTGTTGTGGTTGTTTTTCTATTTGTTGTTGTTTTGTTATTGTTTATATTATTGTTTTTTTCATTGTTGTTGGCATTTTCATTGTTATTTTTAATGTTGTTGTTGTTGTTGTTGTTGTCTGACCTTCTGGTAGACTAGGACCATCGTAAACAGTTAGATGATTTCCTAGAACTGTAATGAATTGTTGTTATTGTAATTGTTTTGTTGTTATTGTTGTTATGGCTATACTTTTATTTCTTTATTATTGTTGTTTTTGGTCATTACTGTTGTTGCTGTTATTGTTATTTCGGATGCTTTTGCTATTGTAATGTTGTTGTTTTTATTGTTGTTGTTGTGTCTGTTGTTGTTGTTGTTGTTGTTGTTGTTGTTGTTGTTGTTGTTGTTGTTGTTGTTGTTGTTGTTGTTGTTGTTGTTGTTGTTGTTGTTGTTGTTGTTGTTGTTGTTGTTGTTGTTGTTGTTGTTGTTGTTGTTGTTGTTGTTGTTGTTGTTGTTGTTGTTGTTGTTGTTGTTGTTGTTGTTGTTGTTGTTGTTGTTGTTGTTGTTGTTGTTGTTGTTGTTGTTGTCGTCGTCTCACCTCCTGGTAGACTAGGACCATCGTAAACAGTAAGATGATCTCCTAGAACTGAACACTCCTGACCCAGTCCTAGACTTTGATCTATCCGACCATACTTCTCAACCTCACCACCCTATACACCAAACCAAACCATTACGATCATTTTAGAATATCATAAATCAGATATTGATAACTTAAAGGGACTGTAAGCGTAATTTCAACTGACCCTTAATGCAAAGATATGGCAAAGATTAACTAAACCGACAAAATTTTAAAATCTTATTCTGTTAATTGTTTATGACACTCTTTAAATGAAACAAAAAGAATTTCAATTCAGTTTAAAATAAAATCGTAAATATTCCTCTTTACCACCCCCCTGCCCCCCCCCCATGTCCAACAAATCCCTGCTACCAAGTCCTATGTGTACAGTAAAACAAATTGAAAGCAACATATTCTATTTACAGTTGAGACTTTATATTCCCATTATGTCCTAGCATGACCAGTCTTATATAAACTATTTAATAGCCGGCTGGAAATATGGCTGGAAATATTGCCAAAAATATGGCTGGAATATGGCTGGAAATATGGCCGAAAATATGGCTGGAATATAGCTGGAAATATGGTTGGAAATATTGCTGAAAATATGGCTGGAAATATGGCTGGAATATGGCTGGAAATATGGCTGGAATATGGCGGGAAATATGGCGGGAAATATGGCTGGAAATATGGCTGGAAATATGGCTGAAAATATGGCTGAAAATATGGCTGGAAATATGGCTGGAAATGGTTTAAAGGGACTGTGAGCGTAATTTAATTTCAGCGGCACCCTACAAATCTTTATCTGATCAATATTGTGGAAGATATTGTCGTTTTCCTAGGTTTAAAAAGGACTTAAAGGGACCGTTCACTGATTCTGGTAATTTGAGGGTAAACTTAATAGCCTATTAGCTATTCATTGGTATTAGTCTTACTTTTCAAAAACAACTGTGGCCGGAGAAAAAACCGATTTTTAGTTGAGTGAACGGTCCCTTTAATTCTGATAATTCCAACTAAATCCCGCCTGATAATCGGTCTAGAAAACTAGATAATCTATATATACATTGATTTTCCGTTTGTTTGCTAATAATCGATAAACGTTAAAACGGCTGAACCGATCGGGGCCAGGTTTTGTGTGCAACGTGACATGACCCCAGGAAAGGTTTACAGACCATCAAAATTAGGGGGAAAATTTCTTGAAAATAGATGGAAAATTTAATTTTGTTAAATGAGCCAATTTGAAAAAAAAAATCAGCCAAAATTTGAAAATAATTTAAAATTTCCCACTTTCAGAGCAACAGTTAAAAGATAAAATTATTTAGAGGAAAGGGTGCGCGAAGCGTCCTAAAAGATTAGTAAATGATAATAAATTAATATTTCAAAAATATGATGGTTTTGGTTCCTGAATCCATATTTTTCCAACTCTAGGCTGTTCCACATACACTAAACCTCTTTTCCCTGATTTTATACAATTTAACCATAGAGAATAGAATAGAGAGGAATTAAAAGAATCTCTCGGTATGAATTTTTTCAGTCCCTTTCAGCCTGAAAGGGAGTTCAAAGTGTACAAATCATGTAAATGTTCACAAATTATATGCAGTAGAGTACATTAATACAGTATGTTCCCTAGACTATCTATTTCAATTTCGAAATTTTTAAACTGTTAAATAAACTTTATAATGAATTAGGTGAATAAAAACATCATTTGATTTAAAGTTTTAACGGAAAATCATCGTTTGTACAGTGGAAGGCATAGAGTCTATGTGAAATGATCATTGGTCAATTATGAAACCAGCCTATTTCATAATTTGGTTTTCTTTTGGCAATAATTTTAGATTTTCTATAAAATGATATTCCAGGGCCCAACAGGTTATATAGCATAAATATGTGAAGTACACCTGCAGTATGGAAACAGTACAAATGGCCGTTTTACACTTTTTTCTAGTAAATTTCTCTCTAATATATATTCTATTCTCTATGAATTTAACCCAGTACTTCGAATACATCAACAGAATTCATAAAATGTCATCTTGGCAATTTTTCAATAGGTTTTGTTTTATTATGAGGCTAAATCTTAGTAATTGTAAAAATAAATAAATATACATGAAATATGCAGGAACAGTTTTAAAAATTCCCATATCACAGGCAGCCATAGTACATTTGAATTTCCGAGCAGGGTCAATCTTTCTGCTCCCAGCTTGTACTGTATCGCCCGGACACTCAATAGGACTAGCTGGTGCAACAAGGTTGACGCGGTCAGACTTTAGGTTGAATTTACTTTTACAAATGGGTTATTATTTATTAATTATTCAATTGAAAAACAAAATATCTGCAGTATTTATTATCAGTAGGTTTAGAAAACGACATTTTATAAATTCTTTCAATTTCTCCGAAGTTCTGGGCTAAACTGTATTATTTTTAATCATATTTAATGTTTTTTGAAGTTAAAAAACCTTGAGAAAATGCTCAGAAATTAATTATTTTGTGAGAAAAGTACTTATTTACAACGCTTGATCTTGATATTAAACTTGATTTTAGTTTTTTCTGCCGGGTGTGACCACCATGTGATATCCAGAAGGATTAGATTAATCCGTAGGACATGCACAAGATACGATTAACTGATTGAGGATTCAATACACAACAAATTAGGAATAAATTGGTTCGAATTGTTTTATTAAAAAATGAGTAAAGACGACATTATTTCTACTGTTTTTTGGTTACCACCTGACCTTGACACCAAAAATATATTCCGTAAAGAAATTTGTTTATTTTTTTATAACAATTTTTAATGCAAAGGTGAGATGGAAGAGTCTCAGAAAATGTTATATAATAGAATGATAAATGATTTGTGGAAAATATTAGGCCTGTGCATATCGGTTTTATCTGAATATTATCCACAGAAAGTTGGCAACACAACACAATGTTTTTTGTTTAAAAAGAAACAAAACGTGTAAAAGTTATGACGAAAAGATTCATAAAGAAATCAAGTCTTTGCCACACACTATGATTTTTTAATCTTGAAACAACTTACAACGCAATGTCGGATATTTCAAACTGCAAATTCTGCAAAATAAAATAATCTAAGTTTAAAATATTAAAATGTTGCACAATAAGGTTGCAAAGATATTGGGATTATAAAATTTGCGTTTGTGGCAAAGTCTCAATTCGCTAATTCTGAAGAAACAAAGTGTATGATTAACACTAATTTTAGAGTCGACAAATATGTTATACTTTTGAAAAGAACAAAAGCTAGGGATGTATAATAATATTAACAATAATTAATATTAATAATAATAATAATAATGATAATAATAATAATAATGATAATAATGATAATAATATTAATTACAGTGATAATAATTATACCTGGAGGTATCTCATTTGGTAGCACATAGATATGATATGAACAGCTGATATTCCTGGTTTAACATCAATTCAATTTAATATTGATTAATCCTAAGACAATGTTCTATTCTAAAAATATAGAAAAGTTTTTAAGTTTCCTAAAAAACACTTTTTTAATTTTTAAAATTCACAATTTTTTTATGCTCAAAGTTAATTAAAAATCAGTTCCTCTACCCTGTTTATCTTATAATTCGTTAAATCGGGTAGAAATTAGGTGCATTTCTCCAGTACATTAAACTAGATTAATATCTTCAAACATTATAATGTAAGATACTGCTGGTACACGGAGAACTAGACAGACAAGATACTGCTGGTACACGGTGAACTAGACAGAAAAGATACTGCTGGTACACGGAGAACTAGACAGACAAGATACTGCTGGTACGCGGAGAACTAGGCATACAAGATACTGCTGAATCGAGCGCGAAGCTATTACAATTTGAGAATAATTTTAAGAATGAGTAAGGGTTGAAGAATTTAAAAGAAGGCAACTGCATGTGCATGTGCAGTGTGCAGCGTAGTGTGAATGCAAGCTGGAGCTGAATCTATTGTTTGTTCTTCTCCATACAGAATATTAATACATGCAACTCCCAGCACATTTTAATCCCCCCTCCCCCTCCAAAACATCATTTGATTTAAAGTTTTAACGGAAAATCATCGTTTGTACAGTGGAAGGCATAGAGTCTATGTGAAATGATCATTGGTCAATTATGAAACCAGCCTATTTCATAATTTGGTTTTCTTTTGGCAATAATTTTAGATTTTCTATAAAATGATATTCCAGGGCCCAACAGGTTATATAGCATAAATATGTGAAGTACACCTGCAGTATGGAAACAGTACAACAAAATGGCCGTNAACATGTTTATCAGTGCATAAAATATTTCAAGATGAGTTTATTAAAAACGAACATGTTTATCAGTGCATAAAATATTTCAAGATGAGTTTATTAAAAACGAACATGTTTATCAGTGCATAAAATATTTCAAGATGAGTTTATTAAAAACGAACATGTTTATCAGTGCATAAAATATTTCAAGATGAGTTTATTAAAAACGAACATGTTTATCAGTGCATAAAATATTTCAAGATGAGTTTATTAAAAACGAACATGTTTATCAGTGCATAAAATATTTCAAGATGAGTTTATTAAAAACGAACATGTTTATCAGTGCATAAAATATTTCAAGATGAGTTTATTAAAAACGAACATGTTTATCAGTGCATAAAATATTTCAAGATGAGTTTATTAAAAACGAACATGTTTATCAGTGCATAAAATATTTCAAGATGAGTTTATTAAAAACGAACATGTTTATCAGTGCATAAAATATTTCAAGATGAGTTTATTAAAAACGAACATGTTTATCAGTGCATAAAATATTTCAAGATGAGTTTATTAAAAACGAACATGTTTATCAGTGCATAAAATATTTCAAGATGAGTTTATTAAAAACGAACATGTTTATCAGTGCATAAAATATTTCAAGATGAGTTTATTAAAAACGAACATGTTTATCAGTGCATAAAATATTTCAAGATGAGTTTATTAAAAACGAACATGTTTATCAGTGCATAAAATATTTCAAGATGAGTTTATTAAAAACGAACATGTTTATCAGTGCATAAAATATTTCAAGATGAGTTTATTAAAAACGAACATGTTTATCAGTGCATAAAATATTTCAAGATGAGTTTATTAAAAACGAACATGTTTATCAGTGCATAAAATATTTCAAGATGAGTTTATTAAAAACGAACATGTTTATCAGTGCATAAAATATTTCAAGATGAGTTTATGAAAAAATTATTGCTTTAAGAAAGTCAAAACACAAAACATTACGTAAGATTGAAAGAGTGCCGGCTTGATCTCAATTTTTCTTTCTTTTTCAAATTTTTCAAAAATCTTCCGAATTCCACAATGAAATCGTGAAGCAGCTATCAAGATATTTTTAGCCATAACCTATTTAAAAGAACTTAACTGTTTTGAATTTCTTATGTAAATCAAATAAGTTTGCTACTCTACATGTTTGGGTTACATCAGTAAAAACTGCAGGAGATACGATGTCAAAAAGTCGTATCAGTCATTACATCTTTGTACAATACAGGTATTCCATGATGACTCTCTGGAATATGAGAGGCCCCATGCCTTCATGAAGGAAATTGTAACTTAATTATATCAATAACTATATTTAGAATAGATTGTAGATAATAATTTACCAGATATAGAGTTTCAACTAAACCAGAACATTTTAATATTTCATATTTTAAATAAAACTTTTGTTATTTTAATTAATTTTTGGAACAAATATTTTAGTGTTGCAGGAACTTCCTATGTATTTTTATCAGAATACATTGAAAATAGGAGAATAGGAGAATAGGAGAATTGAAAATAGGAGAATTTTCCATTTTTTTTTGGCAAAAAAGTCTACTATGGAAACTTCTGTTTTAAAAATATCATTCCGTTGTTTAAAATTTCTTGATTATTCGGTACTCCAACAAAGAAATGGACCGTTACTCAAAAAGCGACTCGAATTGTCCCTGGTCCATGGTTAGAATGGGGTTTAAGGCGAATTAAACATAGTTTACAAAATCAGAAGTTAAAAAATGTTGCTGTTGCCAATTAAAAACAGACTGACTCAACAGACTAACCAGGGCATATTACGTTCAGTTTCTTCAATATAACTTCGCGTTTCGGTATATAATTCAACACACTTTTAATTAAACGAATTGTCTTTTTTTACTTTTTATTGTTTACGCATCCACAGACAAAAAGTTCAGAAAATACGTATTCTTAGTCAAATTGTGATCGAAAGTCAAAGGTTGCTGGAATAAGGACCGAACTCTACGACTTTAATTTGTGATCACTGTAGCAAAAAAATATATTGAAGTGAGTTGAATTCCTGTTGTAGAGACCAGGATAATTAGGTGACTGCACCCTACAGGTTGACCGGGTACAGTTGGTTAGCTTATACTCACAGGTAGTTCCAGGGACCAGCCGGCCAGTTTCTACTGATCTAGCAGTTCTAAATATATTTATAATTAGGTAATTAGGTAATTAGGATCTAGGTCAATCTAAGGACCATAAGTTAAGAATAATATTACAGGAGTTTGTAGTTTTAAGAATTACTCCTTCCCCTGAGGAAGAACTTAAACTAGCAAGTTATTTTAATTTTTAGATATTCCCCCCCCCCAAATAAAAAAAACCAATGAAATTTTTAATTTTTGCCCCTCCTCGCAAACATTCCCTGTTACTTGGGGGGGGGGGGGGAGGGGAATCATCTTGAAAAAAATACATAATGGGAAATTTTGTGTACCTCCCCCCCATAAAAATATTTTCTACCCCTTCATAAAGATAGGGTCTGCCCCCCTCCAGGCCTTCCCCCTAATAAAATCAAATGGCAATGAATTCTTCGACTCATGTAATTCTATTCGGTTATATTACATTTTATTACTCTAGAATATAAATATGCTTTCTTTCGGAGGACTTGGCAAATATATCTTTATCATATCACCCCTCCCCACTATCTTTCCCTCCCTCCTTTCAAAAATAACCAGAAGTGTAAAAGAACTGATTACTAATTGAAGGGAGTGTTCGCGAATAAAAAAGAGGGTATAGGCTACTAATTTTACTGATTTTACTTTTATCTGTTACGGATATAAGGAGAAAATGGTCTTATACCCAACATTTCACAGATCGTTGCCTTATTCCAATCGTAAATAATTCAATTAAATAAAAAATAATTATTCAGATATTTCAACCTATAAATGTCGAATTCAATACGAATATTCAGATATTACAATCCTTAAATGTTGAATTCAATACGAATATAGTTGAAATAAAGTATATATATATATATATAGTTGATATTTCATATTATTTTTTATTTCTTTTTATACATGATGTACTTTTAACGTAGATTATTTGGCCGCTTAAAGTACATACCCCCTTTAATTTATTGCGAACGATCCCGTTAAAATCTAATTTTTAGAACTTTTAAACCTGATGTTTTCGACCTGATTTCAAATTTGATTTCTGCTAAAATATCAAGTTGTAAAAAAATAGAGGATTAGTAAATTAGAGTTTGAGGTGCATATCAGTTCTTTTGAGTCTAATATTTAGCTTATAATGATTTCAAATGTTGATACACTACATTTTGAATTTCCATATAGCTTAAAACCAACTTGCTTCAAGACTGATAATGATAAAGTTGAATAATTTATCAGTTCAAAAATGACAATCTTTCATAATCAAAGTTCTATTTTACTATAAAGTTCCAAAAAAATGCAGAAATTGTGATTATATAGTTCTTTACATTACGATTGATTTAAATTCAGAACAAAACATAAATTTTGTGAATTCTTAACGCAGGATTTTATGAAATTTAAACCATCTATGTATATTATAACTAGCTCTTTGTTCATATATCTTTATGATACATATTACATATGTGTTGACTATAGCTGGCCAAACAGCTGAACATTTTTGAGGAAACCCATGGGAACCCTGGGGGTAACATAGGTGAAAAAAGTTTGAACGTTTTTTTTCCGAAAATCGATTTTTTTCAATTTTTTTTTTAAAATTCCAATGGCATTGTTGACTGTTGGCGTATATCAGTAACATTTATATACTCTTTGTTTTTTTGTGCATTGTATAGTGGTTGACTGCTGGTGTATATCAGTAACATTTGTATACTTTTTGTTTTTTTGTGCACTGTATAGTGGTTGACTGTTGGTGTTTCTCAGTAACATTTATATGTTCTTTGTTTTTTGTGCATTGTAAAGTGGTTGACTGTTGGTGTATATCAGTAACATTTATGTGTTCCTTTGTTTTTTTGTGCATTGTATAGTGGTTGACTGTCGGTGTATATCAGTAACATTTGTATAATCTTTGTTTTTTTGTGCATTGTATAGTGGTTGACTGTCGGTGTATATCAGTAACATTTGTATAATCTTTGTTTTTTTGTGTGCATTGTATAGTGGTTGACTGTTGGTGTATATCAGTAACATTTGTATACTTTTTGTTTTTTGTGCATTGTATAGTGGTTGACTGTTGGTGTATATCAGTAACATTTGTATACTTTTTGTTTTTTTGTGCATTGTATAGTGGTTGACTGTTGGTGTATATTGGTAACATTTGTATAATCTTTGTTTTTTTTGTGCATTGTATAGTGGTTGACTGTTGGTGTAAATCAGTAACATTTGTATACTTTTTGTTTTTTTGTATTGTATAGTGGTTGACTGTTGGTGTATATCAGTATGCTAATAAGTTGGATGCAGTCTCGTAACATAGTTTAACTTACAACTATTTAAACTATTGGTTTAGAATTCATAGAGGACTAAGTTTATAGAGAGCAACCAAAATGGCTCTGTAAATATATCAAAGGCTATAATTTTCAAAATGAAAACAATGACCACTTAAACATAAAAGAGAAAAGTAGAATATAAATAATTTCATGAGTTTTAGATAAACTTTGTTTAAACAAATGATAAAAGAGTATTTGTTATTCTTCTACGTAATTTATAGTATAGCTGCATTCTTCTAGAACTGGTCTAAAGCATGAAACTTTTGAAGCAAAAAAACAACAATTTTAGATTAAATAAAACTCAACACACTCGCCTCAAACTCTAAATATTTAATCCCAAATGTCTTCGCAACCTGATTATTACACGATCTAATCTAATCTAAAATCAAATTAATGCTATATTACTTTGTGATCTCTTGGCTCTTCTAGTTTTATTTTAACAAGTATTTGGCTACATATGATAAATTCCAAACATTTTGATCATTTTTGTAGCTCTTCAGTTTAAGATAAGATTAAATCTTGAAGAATTTAAAGTCAAACATCAGGTCACAAAGATATTAGAATTTAAGGCTTTCTAATATTCTTTGCTATTGCATGGAAAAGTTTCAGTTGGAAGGTTTAAAGAAATTGTAATAGTTGATGCTATGCTACAAATTTAAACTACAATACAACATAAATATTGTTTCATGTGTTAAACCAGTTTTAAAATACAAAGAGGGGCCGGGAGGGGGGGGGAGGGGGGTATTTATAAGTATAAATAAAAAGGGAGGCATAGAAAATGGGAAATACAAAAAATCCACGATTTCCAATCCCACAGAAATATTTTAGATAGATGAATTATTTTTGTTGAATTTTTTTATTATTATTATTTCTATTTTATTACTCGAGACTAGGGTTGGACACATTTTTCAGTTTTGAAACCGTTCGTTCCGCGTTTTTTACTAACAAGGGACTTATATTCTGGATCTTTTGTTTCATATTCGTCTTTCTCATCCCGTTCCAAAAAAAAATACTGTTTGTTAACTTTTTTATATCCCAGTATTTCATGAACCATAATACGTTTATTTATTGCATTTAAATGACGTCATAACTTTTTTATATAAAAATATAATTCACGTTTAAGCTTTGTTTTTAAAGGAATTGCACCTCTGCTACAAACTCTGGTCTTTCAATCCCAATATTTTTGCAGCCAAACGTCGAAGACCTTGATATTTCAAACTATGAATTATTATATTAGATTAAGTTTCAAATATGAAAGGTTTACACCACAAGGTTGCAAAGATATTGAGATTAGACTATTTGAGTTTGGTGCAACATTTTTTTGTTATATTATAAATATTTTCTCATTACTCAACTTACTCAAGCATAAGATGAAAAATTATCGATACCATTCAATTCCAAATTAATTTCGGGATTAGCATAACCCCCTTTTCATTTTTTACGAACACTCCCTTAAAGGTATAACGTGTTTGCCAAAACTACTGAGAGGAAAACATGTAATAAATTACCCAATACCCTGTGTTTTATACATACACACACAGCAGGAGGGAATAAAGCAAATAAGAAAATAATTCTAATAAAAAACTCTCAGATCTTCAGAAACCTAGAGATTCAGCCGGTGCTCCTTTGCCTGGACGCACCAAACTGCAGTTTTTTCTAACATCGTAAAGTCTTATTTAAAGCTTCATTAAACAAATAGGGCGTTGGGAATGGGTTTTTATAAACTCAGAAAGGGTTTTTTTTTAAAAAGGAAAACAACGATACAAGTCCTAGCAAAATACATTAAATGTTGGAAAAGTAAAAATTTAAATTTAAAATTATCTCTAATTTATTAAATATAACTTTTCTATAAAAGTTTTTATTTAGGATCAGAGAAAAACTCAAAACAAGGAAAACCAATTTACTGAATATGTTAATTTCGTTACTTTTTCGAGTTGAAAATCTAACTCCCTACACAACAGGATGGCCATTCTAGGTATTGATGGAATCGAGTTAAATTAAGAAACTATAACCAGTTAAAAGAGATGCTTATAAAATCATAAAATTTAAAAATAGGTTTTTAACTACAGCAAATTGGTTTTCGTAATTGATGGAGAATGGGAGCATTTGTCAGATAGATCACAGACTATGTCTGAGACACGCTTGGACTGAAAGATGGAGCCCTAAAATGAATCCAGAAGAAATTCTGTGTCTATACATTCTTTGGAATGTATAATCTATCCAAAGAATTAATCCGATGTATGTATGTACAATGTACATTGTACAAGGACGGTATGCATTTTATCGCACAGTACAGGCTTTTATTTTGACCCGATTAGACTCAAATTAGTCTTTTACCGTACTGTACACGTCTTAAATTTGATTGGGCTGCTAAAATAAATAAAACGTTTAAGAATAATGAAAAATTAACAATGTCTAATTTTTGATTTTACAAAAATTCTTTAATGTAAGCTACATTTCAAGTGACCCTACATGCAAATATTGCAATGCCTGATTCACAATGGTACCACTATAAACTTTGTCTCGAAAATTATTAATTAGATTTTAATGTAATCATAATTTTTAAAACTGAATATTTTCATGATGTTTCTCTACCAAAATGTTTTGCGTAAATTGCTACTGAAGGAAACAAATAAAGGTTTCAAGGGTACCGTTGTGAATCGGACATTGCCATCTTTTTGTTATAGAGGGTCATTTTAAATTACGCTACAGTCTCTTTAAACTAAAAAAAGAGTACTTGTACGGAACCTGAAAACTACGACTGCAAAAATAAATCTTATTTTGCAAATTCATTTGCAAAATGTGACTCTGAGACTGAAAGTGAGTGAATGCAAAATAGAATTTAGAAAATCGACATCTTCTTGGTGAGGGCCAAGGAATTAAATAAAATGCGCTAAACATTTGAATGATGTAATTAAGTGTTATAAGAAATGGTTAAAGGTAAATGGAAAAAAATGTATTTTTGGTGTACTTTTAAAGCAAGGTGAAACAAGTTCACGTTAATTTTTTAAAAGCTCCAAACTAACCCCAATAACCCCACTTATGTCCGCCACTGCTCAACAATTTCCATTGTTGTGGCTTTTACGAAGCAAAACGGTGCCTTTAAATCCTTGTCTAGAGAATTAAAAATGAATGAGATATCCATGAGTATCTTTCTAGAAATTGTTTATTTTAAATTGGGGGGTTCACTATAAAAGTGACATGCACATTTCAGGAAACATTGGAGGAAATTGTCAAAATTTAACATTTTTCACGCTAGAAAAACGACAATATCATCCACATTATTGATCAGATAAAGGTTTAGAAGGTACCGTTGTGAATTAAACATGCCACTTGATGAAAAAAGAGTCAATTGAAATTACGACTAACGACCCTTAAAATATGAGAAATTGGAGACAAAGTTAAGCCGTCGATCAAATTTTATCATTTTCTTCAAATTTTAATTTTGTGCTTTAAGATAGTTTTGACGCAATTCTAAAAGTTAGATGATTCACTGATTCTCAAAACTACAAAGCTTCAAAGCATCTTTTAAATATTGTTTAAATACAAATATATGTTCCAAAATTGACCGTTATTGGAGCGCATCCAAGGAATATTCAATGAACCCCTTAGAGGTTTTGTTAAAAAAGTGTACTACAAGTTCTGTTGTAAACAAACTTAGAGTTGCTCTAGTTGAGCTTTTTTTACATTCCCCCCAGAAAATGCAGTACACTTTATTTGTAAACAAAGTGATTGGGGTTTCTGATCAATTCCTTGGGTCACTTTTATATTTGAATTTAAAGTTAAAATTTAAAATCTCAAATCATGACAAGCAATTTCCTAACAATGTTCTAATTTGCTTCAATTTAATTCATTTTAATATTTTATATTTTATAAACTAGGAAAGTTTTAATTTCATTGTTTGTTTAATTTCAATCTAAACTCAAAGAGGGACAAAGCTAAAACTTCATATTTGAAATGAAAATTAGCAAATTTCTGCTTTTAGTGTTTTAGAATGAGACTCACATTTGAGGATAAAAGGACATTTTATTGATTGATTTAAGTGTGACTGAAAAAGCTATATTTTTACATTTCTGCCAAAAAGGTTTTTTATTATCTGAAATTTTTTTTAGCTAAATAAAGGATCTACAATTTAAATCACAATCGTTTCTCATCAGACTATAAACTTTCCATGCTTAAAATTTGCAACCTGTAAATTACAAAACGTAAATGCAGATTCAAATTTTGATTTCTAAAGCTTGAAAATCCGCAATTATTTCATGTTTAGGATTATGTAATACTAGCTGAAGAGCCCGGAGTTGCCCGTGGCAAAAAAATTTTTGGAATTTTTATTTAAAAAAAAAAAAATTGAGAAAAAAATTCGAGTGTCCACAAAGAAATTTAGTCCAATCAATCCAGCCGTTTGGCCGGCTAAAGGCAACATATATATATACGAATGTATTGTTTTATTATATAGATTTAATTCACAATTGAATTAAAAATGTTTATGTTGCATAAAATATTTTAAAATAATTCAAAAGTAAAACTTTTTTCTCCAAACTGGCGGTTGTGAAAAGTTTTCAGAATATTCCAAGTTCTTGCACACTTTTGAGAGAGGAGGGTGAATTAGATAGATAGGTGATTAAAGGGACTGTAAGCGTAATTTTAATTGACCCTTCATGCAAAGAGGAAATTGCCCGATTTACAACGGTTCCCTTGAAAGCATGAACTAATTAAGATTATGATTAAAATTAAGGTTTCAATGATACCGTTATAAATCGGGAATTGCCATTTTTGAATGGAGGGTTTTTAAAATTACACTGACAGTCCTTTTAAAATAAAAGATTGTAAATATAAAACTAGATATTTTAAACTAGGAGGAGTGAGATATCAATGATTTTTCTTTAAAAATTTGTTATTTCAATTGTGGCTTCTCTGTATAGTAAAAAGGGACATGGAACTTCAAGCCACATTTTTGATTATTTAAAGACTTAAAGGGCACGGATGTGAATCGGACATGACCATTTTTAAATGGAGGATAACTTAAAATTTCAGCATCAGTCCCTTTAAGAAATTGTAGAACAAAAGAGAATGAAAGCCTAGGAAAGAAAAAGAGGATTGAATCTGTAAAACAAGTTAGAGAGCATATATTGCAAAATCCTTTATTTATTACTCTGTTTAGTGAATGTCTTCAGAACTAAAGGATTTCATCTAAAGGGGGGGGGGGAAACAATGGGGAATCGTTGGAACAATAGAGAAGAGAAAGGAGGGGGTATAAGGGAAAATGTTGAGGGTGGGGGGGAGGGGTAAATTGAATATGAGAAGATTATAGAAGAGAAAGGAGGGGATAAGGGAAAAATTGAATGGTGTAACACACTCCTGAAGAGGTATAAGGGTGAAAACTCTTGTTTGTATTGAGGGAGGATTGAGGGAGGATTGAGGGAGAATTGAGGGAGAATTGAGGGAGAATTGAGGGAGAATTGAGGGAGAATTGAGGGAGAATTGAGGGAGAATTGAGGGAGGATTGAAGGAGGATTGAGTAATAATCAGAAATTCCATAAATTTTATAATTCCCAACAAACTCCTTTTCAAGTTGCAATACAAATACATCTTTTAACAAAATAGATTCACATATATTGAAAGTGTTCGGGAGTATTGGTTAGGGGGGGGGAGAAAGAGGGTTATATTTTTATTAAAAAACTAAACGTTCATAGCCAAAAGTCATAGGCGGTTAGAATGAATATTAAGAGAATAGTTAGTTGTGATTTTTTATTTGCATTATCTCGTGCTTTGTAGTTGAATAAAAATATGAGATATGAAACTAGGTACAGGCAGTTGAACTACTTCTCTGGCTCGATCTCTGTCAAACTAGAGAAGTGGAGGTGGGNGGGGGAGTAATCTTAATTGCTTCCCTTTGTATTTCATCAAACTAATCTACAAGTTAACTGTACACTCACTTTCTATCTAACCACCTATCAATCTTTCTTTTCATCTATCTATCTTATTTTCCTTCTATCTATCTTTCTTTTCATCTATATATCTTTCTTTCCATCTATCTATCTTATTTTCAATCTATCTATCTTTCTTTTCATCTATCTCTCTTATTTTCCATCTATTTATCTTTCTTTCCATCTATCAATCTTATTTTCCATCTATTTATTTTTCTTTCCATCTATTTATCTTTCTTTTCATCTCTCTATCTTTCTTTTCATCAATCTAACTTTCTTTTCATCAATCTATCTTATTTTCCTTCTATCCATCTTTCTTTTCATCTATATATCTTTCTTTCCATCTATCTATCTTATTTTCCATCTATCTATCTTTCTTTTCATCTATCTATCTTATTTTCCATCTATTTGTCTTTCTTTCCATCTATCAATCATATTTTCCATCTATTTATTTTTCTTTCCATCTATTTATCTTTCTTTTCATCTCTCTATCTTTCTTTTCATCAATCTAACTTTCTTTTCATCTATCTATCTTTCTTTCCATCTATCTATCTTATTTTCCATCTATTTATCTTTCTTTCCATCTATCTATCTTTCTTTTCATCTCTCTATCTTTCTTTGCATCTATCTATCTTTCTTTTCATCTCTCTATCTTTCTTTTCATCTTTCTATGTTTCTTTTCATCTCTCTATCTTTCTTTTCATCTTTCTTTTCATCTATCTATCTTTCTTTTCATCTATCTATCTTTCTTTTCATCTATATATCTTTCTTTGCATCTATCTATCTTTCCTTTCATCTATCTATCTTTCCTTTCATCTATCTATCTTTCTTTCCATCTATCTATTTTTTTTCATCAATCTATCTTTCTTTTCACCTCTCTATCTTTCTTTCCATTTATCTATCTTTCTTTCCAGCTATCTTTCTTTCTTTCCATCCATATGTTTATCTTTCCATCTATCTATTTTTCTTTCCTTCTATATATCTTTCTTTCCAACTATCTATTTTTCTTTCCATCTATCTATCTTTCTTTCCATCTATCTATTTTTCTTTCCATCTATCTATCTTTCTTTCCATCTATCTATCTTTCTTTCCATCTATCTATCTTTCTTTCCATCTATCTATCTTTCTTTCCAGCTATCTTTCTTTCTTTCCATCTATCTTTCTTTCTTTCCATCCATGATATCTATCTTTCCATCTATATATCTATCTTTCCATCTATGTATCTATCTTTCTATCTATTTATCTATCTTCCATCTATCTATCTTGCTTTCCATCTATCTTTCTTTTCATCAATCTATCTTCCTTTCCATCTATCTTTCTTTTCATCAATCTAACTCTCTTTCAATCTATCTTTCTTTTCATCAATCTATCTTTCTTTTCATCAATCTATCTTTCTTTTCATCAATCTATCTTTCTTTTCATCAATCTATCTTTCTTTCCATCTATCATCTGAATTTTGAATATTAAAAAAATGGAAAATTGTATTTAACAAGTTTTACCTTTTAGGCGGATGTATGCTAAACTTTACTGCTACTGCAAAACTGTTCATCTAAAAACAATAAAATATTTTGAAACAGTGCTTAGGATCCAGGTTATTTTAATGCGGCTCCGGATCCTGGCTCCGCCCTGAAAAAAGGATCCCTATGCAAAACCGGATCATAAGGCGGATCCAGGTTATAAATTTTAAAACAAAACGAAACAAAAAATTTTCCATGTTTTTCTGCTGAAACTTATGTGAACCATTTAGAGATTAGAAAGTTTTTAAAAATCTCTTAATAGTTATCCACTGAGATTACCAGTTAGAGATTAGAAAGTTTTTATAAATCTCTTAATAGTTATCCACTGAGATTACCATTTAGAGATTAGAAAGTTTTTATAAATCTCTTAATAGTTATCCACTGAGATTACCAGTTAGAGATTAAAAAGTTTTTATAAATCTCTTAATAGTTATCCACTGAGATTACAAGTTAGAGATTAGAAAGATTTTATAAATCTCTAATAGTTATCCACTGAGGTTTGACTTTCGAGAGCAACATTCTTTGGCAGATCCGGATCCGAAAAATCTTTTTTTTTCGGATCCGGATCCAGGGAACTAAAATTGTGTGGATCCAACGGATCTGGATCAGAAGCACTTTTTAAAATGTAGACTATGATTATGATGATGATGATGATGATGATGATGATAGTATAAAGTGAAAATAAAAGGATTAGAAAAATTACTAATGATGATACCTGTATTGTATCCCCCCAGAATTGATATAATCTAATATCAAGCGTAACAATATTCTTTTCACTGAAGTAGATTGGTCTGAAAATTAAGACAAATGAATCATGAAAGAACTTTTTTTAACCTAATTTATTTATTCGAATGTATACAGTGATAACCAGAAAACTGTAGAATATGAAGACAACATTGAAGCAATGATTTGATGCTGTTACAAAGCAAATGGCTATATAAGTAAGCTATAAAATCACTTATTAACTGAAATGGGTCTGATTATTCTGCACAATTGCTGTGTCTCATATTCATTTGACCATTTAAAGTCATAACTTGAGATTTAAAGTTGTCTTCCTATTTAAGAGTCTTATGGTTATCATCAAGGTTATAATACAAGGAAAGTTATTTAAGAGGTGTACGAATCTTTTATATTGCAGTGTACTGTCTCTGGGCGGTAATGTAAACACAAGACAGATGTCGAAGCCTGACATGGGATCCATCTTTCGCATGAAAAATCAATGAAATATTCTGGTCACAGAAAACTATTATGTCAATTATCAGAATTATCAAAATTTAATGCTTTTAACCTCCTCGGATACTAAACAAACACTGATGCACCCATTCTTGTTTACAAATTCCGCCCAGAGAGAACTGGTTTCAATATGTACGCAGAGTATACGCAACTGCAATTAACTTTCCTTGCATTATATCCTTGGTTATCACTAGCTTATACTAGATAAAACAAACAAATGTAACAGGGATAAAATCAAGGTCTATAAACTAATCAAGGGCTAAAACTTATGAAGGGCTAAGCTGCTTAAGAAGAGGAACGGATCAAAGGGAAGAACTGATCAAGACGAGGAACTAATTAAGGGGTGTAACTGATCAAATGATTGGAACTGATCAAGGGAAGGAACTGATCAAAGGGTGCAACTAATCAAGTGGTGAAACTAGTCAAGGGGTGCAACCGATCTGGAAATTTAAATGGTTTAATAAAAAAAAAAAAAACCTTTTTTTCCTGTTGTTTACCTGGTTCTGTTTACCAGTGCACCACAAAACTTCCCTCCGACCCCTGGTTCAGGATCTCTCCACTCCTCTTCAGATATAGTTAGACTAGCATCAGGGCAGCCTAATACGTGGCTGGACTGAAACCTGCCTAGCTTAAACCGCTCCAGCTGCACCTGCAAAATAAACAAGTTTTAAACCCGGTTCTACAGCCTAACACATGGCTGGACTGGAACCTGCCTAGCCTAAACCACTTTAGCTGCACCGGAAAATTAACAAGTTTTAAAACTGGTTCTACAGTCTAGCACGTGGCTGGACTGGATAATTTAACAAGTTTTGAAACCGGTTCTACAGCCTAACACGTGGGTGGACCGAAACCAGTCTAGCTTAAACCGCTCCAGCTGTACCTTTAATAGATACAAGTTTTAACCCCGCTTCTATTAAAATTTAAGTCATTTCAATCTTAAAATCTAAATAGTGCCTGTTTATTGGATATGGAGATCAACCCTTTCACATTAACGATACTCCAAAGAAAAAATTTTTGTGTTGTGAATCTCGGGATCAAGCAATGATCTCATCTATGCAGATTAATTAAAGTCCTTTTTGATATCACATGATGGTCATACCCTTCAGGGAAACTTTAATCAAGCATTCATCCTGAAATCTCAAAGTGCCCAAATTGTATATCGAGATATAGTTTTCAAGAACTAAGAATATCCACATAAAGTTCTGATCTCTGATCAGATCCATAGAGAAAGGAAACAAAGAGGTTTTCAGTTGTGTACAACTGAGGTAAGCTTTACCTCTTTGTTTCCCTTCTCTATGGATCAGATGCTCAACCAACAAACACCTGAATTTAACTTAACATGCCCAAATAAACTATATCAAAGATTTCAGAAAACCTCAGATTTTCCCAAGGGCCAAGGGATATCATGAACCTCCAGTTTGGTAAAATCTGTGAACTCCAGTGGGAGAAGATCAAAGCAAAATCAAAAATAGTTTTCTTAGAAATGAAGAAGTAACAAACTGAAATAAAATAGATTTAAGTGAAACAACAAGCATGTTTGGGTTTCAAATTGTCAACAGCTATATATAACTTAGAAATTTTATTCCCATTTTGCTACCTAGTTCCCCAATCAAAATTTGAGGCAAGTCAGTTAATAAGTTCCTGAGTAATGATCGGACATACAAAACAAACATTTTAACATACAGACAGACAGACAAAACTACTCTATCCTCCCCTCCCCCTTCCCCCCTTTACTACTTGTAGTTCGTTGATCTAATTCTCCGTGTTGAATTGAATTTCTATGAAAGGCTGTCAACAATTCAAATTCAATATTCTCTGTGATAAAATCAAATTTTGCATAACACATGTATATGAATTAACAGAAATTTATATTACAGGTTTAGAATACCATTCTGTATTCTTTGCTCAAATTGGAGTTTTAGATCCCATCAGATGGTTTTCTTGAAGATTTTGTATCCCATAATTTAAGTTCAATCCTTAAAATTTAGGTTTAGGTCACAGAAGATAGGGTAAACTCTCATAATGGAGGTTTAGAGTCCTATCAGATAGATTAAACTCTCATAATGGAGGTTTAGAGTCCTATCAGATAGATTAAACTCTCATAATGGAGGCTTAGTGTCAATTCAGGTAAAATTAAACTCTTCTAATGGAGATTTAGAGCTCTATTGGATAGGTTAAAGTCTCATAATGGAGGTTTAGAGTCCTATTCCCATCAGATAGATTAAACTCTCATAATGGAGGTTTAGTGTCAATTCAGGTAAAATTAAACTCTCATTATGGAGGTTTGGAGCTCTATTGGATAGGTTAAACTCTCATAATGGAGGTTTAGAGTCCTATCATATAGATTAAACTCTCATAATGGAGGTTTAGAGCTCTATCGGATAGGTTAAACTCTCATAATGGAGGTTTAGAGCTCTATTGGATAGGTTAAAGTCTCATAATGGAGGTTTAGATTCCTATTCCCATCAGATAGATTAAACTCTTATAATGATGCTGTAGAATGTAGATAGATTTAGCACATAATATGTTGAAGTTTTTAGGTCCTATTAGTATCAGAATTAAGTTGAACTTTTTCAAAAGCTATTTAACGCTATCTACACTGTCCAAAAGTTAAGAAATTGAACAATATTGAAAGGAATTTAATTACAAGAAACTATATGGTTTTGACTAAGGTCTAACAAATCAAGATGTTGATTTTAAATTTCAGAAACCACAGTTTTGACCATTTTAAATCTAGAATTTAATTTTACTCTACCCCTCAAGAGCAAAAACTGTGCATTTTTTACATATTCTAATGATGTACTTTCAAGTTTTCATAAATTGCAGAATCAATTCTATAGAGATAATCTTAACTGAAAAGTTATAAAAAAAATATTTCTTCCCTAAACTAAACTAAATACAAAATAAACTTTTAGAAAACTATTATACTTTGTCCTTTGCAACATCACACAAGGAGATTCAATAGAATTTGATGCAAAACTATTTAAACTTTAGATTTAGAAGTTTACAGTTTCTACCAGCTTGGGTTAGAACTTAGAAGTGTAAAAAACTTCTTAAAAACTTTAAATTTCCCTACAGCTGTAAACCTGGTTTGACAACAAAGAAAGTAAATCCCAGGGATGAATATTTTTCAGAATCACTTTTGATGATTTGAGGGAAATAAAATGAAAAAAAACCTTTTTCTTTTGATATTTTTACCCAAAAATACATTGATCAGTGAATAAAACCCGAATTTTTTTTTGTATAAATAACTACTGAGGAAAAAATACTTCAACAAGGAGGGGGGGGGAAGAAAAATTCTTTAAAAAAAATATACCCCTGCTAAATCGACAATAAAGATTTCACATCAATTTAAGATATTTTGACAAACAAAAAATAAAAAAGTCAAGTTTTTTTTCACTCCCTTCTACGATTATAGTTCAATTTGAACAAAGAATCCTTTTATTTCTAAGCTTGGTTGCCTCTTTACCCACACTTTACATTTGCCTTGAGCAACAAGAAAAAGAAAGGTTTAGGAAAAATTTTTAAACGAGATTTCAGAACAGTTTAGTAGGATTTTAGAACAATTTGGTAGGATTTTAGAACAATTTGGTAGGATTTTAGAACAATTTGGTAGGATTTTAGAACAATTTGGTAGGATTTTAGAACAATTTAGTAGGATTTTAGAACAGTTTGGTAGGATTTTAGAATAATTTTGTAGGATTTCAGATTAAACAATTTAGTAGGATTTTAGAACAATTTGGTAGGATTTCAAATTAAACAATTTAGTAGGATTTTAGATTAAACACTTTGCTAGGATTTTAGAACAATTAAAATGGACTGTAGCTATATTTTCATAAGTCCATAAATTCACAAACTAGAAGAATATTTGGAGACAGCCACAAAAAACCAGAATAATACTAATACAAAAATAATGATGATGGCCTTATATGACTTAAATGGTTAGTTTGTCTAAAAGTTGTTTGTAAATGTTGTTTAAAGTTGTTCTAAAAAGATTATTTGTGAGAACTCTTAAAATATGCACAATCGTTGTCCATATAAATAAACGAGCTGGGCAACCGGAACTAGAACTAGAATTTCCCTAGAGGGGACTGGTTCGTTTGGTGCACTGTCACGTTTTGCCTGGTATAATTTGTATGTGTACTGTACAGCTCTCTCTAGTCAGTTAGATGTCAGCCCGGTTCTTGAAATGAACCGGACTTAACTGTACTGCCAATTTACAATGACTAATGTGGCAGACCTGTGTGAAAAGACTGATTTAACAAGGTTGACAATATTTTGATAAAAGGCCCATTATCCCTGAGAACATGTTGAATTATCTTGAAGTTCCAACAGCCTGGAAACTATGAGAGATCTGAGAGAATTCATTTTTAATATCCTTTCATCCCACTTCTCATACAGATCTTTTCCTTTAACAATTCAGTTGGGAAAAAATACAAATTCTAAAGAAATTGTTGAAATCAGGTTACATTTATGAAAAAAAAGAACAACCAAACATTTTCTACACTTTAGAAGTGTACTGCAGAATTGTACTGTACTGTATTGAACTATGATGAATGTTGTACTGTAGAATTGTACTGTACTGTATTAAACTATCATGAATGTTGTACTGTAGAATTGTACTGTACTGTATTGAACTATGATGAATGATAAATGAATGACCAAGAAAAGGATGGTTCCATGAGTACACTATAGAAGTGTACTGTAGAATTGTATTGTACAGCATGAACTATGATGAATGATAAATGAATGACCAAGAAAAGGATGGTCCCATGAGTACACTATAGAAGTGTACTGTAGAATTGTACTGTACTGTATTGAACTATACTATGATGAATGTTAAATGAATGACCAAGAAAAGGATGGTCCCCTGAGTATACTGTATACTGCGGTAGTAGATAACATAAATTAATCTAACCCTGATCTTTATTATGTTATAATATAGTTAAGATTAACAAGATGTATTCTTTATTCTGAGCTTAACAGCACAACTAACCAGTTAAGGTTTGAAATACACAAATCCTTAAAGCTACAGATATACAAAACATAGTTTTATTTTTGTGTTAATATTTAAAGTTATTCAGGGTGCCCCAATAAACATGGGAATTTAGTGATGATTTTGATATCGTCTTTGTAAATAATTTTTTGATTTAGTCTGGTGATGCCTATTAGGAAAGTCATAATCCGTCTGCCAGAGTTCAGAATTTGTTTTTTTATTTTTTTCTGCATACTGTGTTGTACCGTTTATTTATAATATACTCTAGTAAACGTAACTTTATTTTGACCGATGAAATTTGGGAACACATCACAACTTTATAAATATAGGTAAGCAAATTTTCTAAAGTCATTAAAATCATTTAAAAATGTCAACTTTGTAGAAAAATGAAGAAAAATGTTAAAATAAATCTCTTTTGGCCTATGTTACCCCCACGGAACCCATGAATTTCTAAAAAAAATGTCAGTCAATTCTGTCCAGCCGTTTGGCACAGCTATATATAACATATATATATAGTATATGAGCGAAGAGCTTAATTATATTAATAATTAACATGATAGAATTTGATAAAACTACTTTTTATGACTAAATATTCAAATGCTATTTTGATAAATATGTTTAAAATTAACACTTTTGCTTTTTAACAAAATTAA